GGTTTTCAGTTAGAAAATTGAACTCCACAAATGTCCCCATGGCTAAATGAGGCTTTTGCAATGTTGAAATTAATCAATCAACTCTCCAATAAGAGCCAAGCCTCAAATCCACAGGCATGAAACAACAGCTAGTAATGGCCATGTGAATTGATTTCAGAAGGTTAAATGTGCACATTCAGGGCTTAGAACAAAGTCTTTGTGCCCTTATCCAAAGGGGATATCTGTGTGACTCACAACCTTAACATACACTGTAATAATGAAAATTAAGGGACTGGGTTTAGATGAGGCCATGAAGGTTTATTCATGGTCGAAATTTAGACCAGAGGGTTTTTTTTTTCCTGATGAACAAGGTTCATGGAAGTCTGACACTGAATAATTTTGTTCCCTCTTGGGGCAGAAAAAAAAAGGATGTAAAAAACCCAAATGTACTAAATATATGTGTGATGGTAGATTTTCTTTTCTTTTTTTTTTTTTTTTTTCAATTGGTTAATGGTTGGGCACATTTAAAGGATAAAATAGGTTGTTGGTTTCTATGCTGAGGTTGTGGCTGAGCCTGGCATCAATGGTTTGTTAAAACTTTAGAAGAATCAGTCTGAAAAATGGTTTCATGGTAAAAATGGGGCTGTAAATCTGTAAGTAATCATGCCTAAAGCAGGGCTGGGTAGGCTTTGGTTTTCTGTTTAGCCAAAGTTTGCTCCAATATAGGCATAATTAATGGATTTGAACAAGTGTAGCAATTCTGAACAGCAGAGAAACCTGATAAAGAGCCAGGGTTCAACCAAGAATGGGATAGAGATGGATTTTGGAGAAATCATATGTAGGTTTTCTCTGCGGGACTTTCCAGACTAAGGCTGTTATTAGATATAGGCTAAAAAAGGGATTCTGGGTTGTTTGACATTTAATATCCATTACAAAAGAGGTTTCCGGGCTAAAATCAGCACTGTCCTCAGAAAATTACAATTATCATAAAGGCATGTAGCTGTCCCTGAACTCAAGTGTTTGTGTTACCCATGCTAAAAGTGCTGCAGACAGATGAGGCAGAACTTGGGTTTCAGCTCTGACACTCAGAGGGAGTGGGAGCCCTTGGCTGAGGCTGTTTTTTAGGCGCTGTTGATCTTCCTTGTCAGGGCAACGTTTCCAGGGCGAGGTGACCAGCCAAGCTTTTCCTGCTCAAGCTTGTGTTTAGAATTATGCATATGTTCCTTGACTGAATTGGAGTGTAAGACCCACAGCTGGTGTCAAGCTAGGAAATGGCATGGCCAGTTACCAAAAAATCCAAAATGGAAAGGAATGGGTGGTGTAGTGAACAGGCACCGTGAGCAGTGAATGGTGTCCAAGCATGGGAAAGATGGAAGGTTTGACAATCAGTGTAATTAACACAAAAAGCCTAATTGCAGAAAACAGAGATGCAGAAGCTTCAAAAGTACTTCCCAAAAAAAGATTGATTTCAAAAAAGCAGAAAGAAAAAATAATCCGATGCTGATTATTTAAATTGTGTGGAGTATATAACCAAAAAATGAGCAGAACAAAATGCCAAACAGGAAGGGGAAAAAAATGTTAAAACCAGGAGAATTATTAAATTCTGTTTTGTTAAAAAAAAAAAAAAAAATTAATGATGTTTTGACAAATGTCACAAGGATTTGCATATTTGAAAGAAGGAGCTTCTTGCAGTGGCCACATGCATGGGAGGTGCTTTGAGCCCTGCGGCTGAGGGCTCTGTGTGCTCGCTGCGATGCCACAGCCTCTGCAGCCATCTCGTGGGGACACTGTGCCTGGTCACCCAGGGGAGCCAGGCTGGGACACTGAGCTGGGAAAGGCTCACCCTAGGCTTTGCTTCCTTGTCACAATCAATTTTTCCTGGGGCACAGTAGGCAGAGTCCTACAGCACATGCCAGTGAGTTGTGACTGCACATACTGGTAGGTGATTTCTCACCTACATTCAAATCCTGGGAGTTTTCCCCCTCTCTCATCATCATAGACTTACTACAGGAGTAAGCATGCAGAGCCTGGGGCACTGCCTGCAAAGCAGGAAAGGTCCCTTTGCTGCTGAAGCTCCATCTCTTGTGTCCTGGCAGAGCACAGGACTTCCCAAAGGAGCCTTGGAAGTGTTGGCTGTGGCTGACAGCAGCACCAGTAGCTGCAAGGCTGAACAATCTATTTATGCTTCCTCCTCCCATCGACTCAGATGCATTCTGTTATTCTGCTCTCTCTGATTATACCCTTTCTGATCCCATCCTGCCAACTCAACCAGCCAAATTCAACTCGGGGATGGTATTTCCTTTTTCATAACTGTTTGACTGTCTTCCTCTCTATGTCTTCTTGGCAGTTCTTTGCTTTGCAAATCAGTGAAAGAAAGGTTGCTCATTTTACTGGAAATAGCAATCGTTTTCCTGAGGGTTTTGTTTCTTCAGCTTACAGAAAGGCAGAGACCAAGCAAGCTGATTTGTCCTGACAGGATGAAGTGATGGAGGAACAGGCCATTCACTTCATGGATTCTTCTCTAAGGACTATTAATGCCTTTTGACTATGCTTATCCCACTGCCAGCAGTCAGCCTTTTGCTCCAGCTGGTGCTGTTAAACATTCCAGGAGAAGGTTCCCTTTCTGCTTCCAATGATTCACGAGCAGCACCTTTGGGACACAAAGGTATCACAGGCTGTCCACCCAGCCAGGTAGAAATACATTCACCACACTGAGTACAATTTCTTTGAATCCTTAGGGGGAGTTCCTGCAAGCTGGCCCACCACCACCATTCCCAGGTGAGCTGACCATGCTTAACCATCCACTTGACAATGGGAGGATTCCACTCCTCAGGTTTGGTTCTTAATTATCTTGTTTCCTTGGCCTGGTGGGCAGAGTGAAATGATTTCTTGGAAATGCCTGTGTTTTAAATGTATGGGAGGTCATGGCAAAAGGCTTTGTGAAGAGCAGGAGCTGTAGCCTTTGTTACCTTCTAAATTCTCTGCCTTTGGTCCCCCACTGAAGTTTTTCTCTCAACTGTGCTTCAGTTGAAGCACAGTAAAGTATTAAAAAAAAAGACCACAAAAAAAACCCCACAAAACAAAACTATTTAACTACTTTTCTTGCAGTTTGATCAGGGAATTGCAGTTTATTGTAGCACTCATTTAAATGCTCAGAGACTATTATCCCCAACAGATGCATGAAAATGATTTAACAGCCAAACCACCTACATTTGTGTAAAAAAGCATCATAAATTGATTAAGCAGTTGTCATCCAGATCTGAGATGTGATGAGATATGAGAGCTAAATAGAAATGTAATTTCCAGAGGTATAGTAATTATTGGTGTGGTTACCTGGGTTTTCAAATATGTTTGTTACTAAAAGATCTTCAGACATCTCAATGTTTCCCCTGTAACTTCTGTTCCTGGGAATCTCAAGAACTTTCCTATGACAATTTCTCTTTATGTGTCACTCATGTTATTTGCTGAAATACACATGGTCCATGAAGAACCAGTGAAATTCATTGCTAAATGATCTTTTACATATTCTGAGGTCTGGATATTTAGACAACACCTGTTTATCCCAGCAGTGTCTCAGAACTCCTTTCAGACTGGTTTGGACATGGTGTGACTCAGAGCATCCTGGGTTCCAGCCCTAGGTCTGGTGGAACCTGCTCCCCTCAGTCCTTCCTGTTGCTGTCTGCTTGTTTTCCCACTTCTGTAAAGTTGTACTTTGCAGATATTTCCCTTAATCAGAGGACAAATGTTTTAGGCTTTGCTTTCATGCCTTGACTTTTCTTTCCACTATGGAATTTCCTGCAAGGTGCTGCACTGGCCAGGATGTGACCTTCAGGAATGGCTGCTTGAGAATTTCATATGTGCTTGAGAATTTTTACCTTCTAAAATTGAGATGACTGAACCTTTCCCTTTCAGGTATTCTTGGTTTCTAATTGAGCTACAGCTAATCACATTTTTGTTAAATGCTCCAGATAATCAGTGTATGTCATCTCAAATGCTAGAATCTTGTTTAGCTACATTCATCTCAGATTCCAGTTGTTTTGTTTCTGTGCATGTCTGTGGCTTTATTCTGTTGGCTTTTTTTCCCCCTAAAGAAGTACAGGTTCCTAATCTCATTGATTTGGTTTCTTCATTTTAGGTTATGTTACAAATTTCAAATCAGGTTACAAGAAAATCAGATTCGTTCCTTGTTCTTAAACAGTACACTTAAATGTCTGGATTTGGTACTTAAAAACTTATCTTCTTCAGAATTTATATGGTTTGGGTGTGCAGGAGAAGCAGAGCACTCAGTATTGAATGCACCACCCCTTAATTTTATTTCAAGGAGACTTTTCACAATAAGTAAACAGTGGATTATACTATTAGTTTCAGAAAGCAATTTTCAGAAGTATGCTCTGGCAGCTGAAATATCAGTGCTGTTTCAACTATTTTATTTACTGTCTTCAAAAATGACTATGAATGTGACAAATTGCATATTCTGCCCTCCAAGCTTGTTTTATGTTCTGACACTTCCAATATATTGGTTTTATTATTCATCATTACAAGAAGAAAGAAATTAATTTTATGAAAATTAGACAATGGGCTCACATTTCTGGGAAACATCACTCATTAGAATCAGATGCCTGCCTCTAGTATCAAAAACACCTAATTACTTACAAGAACTTCACCTTTCTGCAGAAGATGTTATTTCTCTAAATGGGAGCCCAAATACCCCTTCTTTTTGATTCTTTTGTGGATAAATGTAAATAACAATATTTATTTTTCTAGTCACCTGCAGATATTAAGCACTTAATGTTACACTAAATAGTTATGCTATATGGAAGAAGTAGTGATTAAAAATTTTACAGAAGAATTAAGCAAAAAGGTTAAAGTAAAAAAGATTCCATTCCTAATGCTTCTTGTATTAAAAAGTAAAGGAAAAAGCCCTCAACCCTAAATGAAAAAGTGGAGCACTTTATATATCTCAGAGAGGAAGAAGGATAATAAAAGCCTTTTGCATAATGGTTTATGCATATATATAACCCACCATATAGGTGGGTTTTTTCCCAATTAGTTTCTCACACCTTATTAACAAATGAAAAGAATGATATTTGATTTTTAAACTCTGATATGGACTTGGAGTGGGGATTTAACTGTTTCTAGACTTTTGCATCATTTTCCTGTGACTTTAGTGCTCTCGGGTTTATCTGTGGCCATCCAATGCTCTGAATTAAACCAGATACACGTGACTGTATCTGGAGAATTTATTGAGGTGTTTATTTATTTTTTTTTTTTAGCTGAAAACACCTTCTTTCCAATGTTTTGCTTCTTTTCCGAGAGTTAATCTAAATTTTCTTGGAGGTAAAACACCTTTCCCAAAGGGACCCGTGTATGAGGGAGCAGTTTGGCCACAGGGTGGAGCGTTCGGATCTCTGCAGGGAAAATCCAAAAGCTGCCTGCCTGCCAGCATCCTCCAGCAGAGAGGGATGTTGCAAATCCTCTAAGTTCTCCTGGGAGCACCGATCCTTGTGGTGATTTATGTTCATACGTGCAATAAGGGTGGGAATGGCTTTTGCCCCCGCCCAGGTCTGGAAACAGCATCTAAAGGTGAAATTAATCACCAGGGCGTTGCATTCAGGGCAGCAATTCCAGTTTGGCTTCTCGGATCCTTCACCCATCTCCTCCTGTCACATGGAGGTGAAGGGGTTCCCATCCCACTGATCACCCCTGGATGCATCAAATTCTTCCCCCAAATGCATTTCTGGCACAGATGGGGCAGGGTGCTGTCCTCACCTGCTCCCCTGCACCGCTCATGATGTTCTTTGCCTTCCCCAGGCTCATCTTGGGCTATGCTCGACTTGGACCACACAGAGGGAAAGGCTAAGGACCAGCAGCAGATGCAGGAACTTTACTTAATAAATTGCTAATATATCCTCATTAACATAAAAGGCCTTCCAGAGTGGATACTAAGACAAAGAGCTCTTGGCATTTGTGCAGATTTAAGGGAACATCTGTGTTTGTGATGGCAGAAGATTCATTGTGTGATAATAAAAACACAGCTTCAAAGGAAAATATTTTTACTCATAAAAAGTAAGACTTTTTATAAGAACTTTCACTTTTGGTTTTTTTTGTGGTTTTTTTTTTTCCTAGATGTCACCACTTCCATAACATTTTCTTTCCTATTGATAGATATGCTATCTATTTAAAAACAAGAATATATCCTGAAAGGACTAATTAAACCATAAAGCAATATTTTCAATGGTTCTGTTTTCTCGTTCACCTTTATGTGCTTTGAAATAAAATGCAAATCTAAAGGTCTGCACAGGCTGAATTAAATAACTTCCTACCTTGTAGTTGGTTTAGTTTAGCTATTTAAGCATATAAACCTATTACCCAATTAAACAAATCAGTATTGGTTACAACTAAGATGATTTACAAGTTGTGAAGTGATTGCACTCATTTAATTAAACCTAAAAAATATTATTTAATTATTTTGATATGTTTTCTGCATTTAGGTGTCACCTTAGAAATATTTTAAAATTAAGAATTAAATTTAAGAACTGCACATCTTAAACCTTGAGAAGAATATATGGTGGTGTTTAAAAGTGTGAAATTTAAATACTGTAATGAGAACTTAATGATTATGCCATAAGCAGGAAATACAAGAAAGGGGAGTGAAAAAAATCAGACTTAGTTTGTTGTGTAATAATAATGAAAAGCTAAATATTAATGGTAGGTTGTGAGTCATAATTTTCTTACTAAGATTTAAATTGTTTTGCTTCAGCTGAGCTTTAGAGGCTGCTCATGTGCATCTTCCTAGCACATCTCAAATCTTAGATGGGTTAATTTAGCAAAGCCCATGCTGGCTATTAAAGAGCTTTCTCAAAACATTCCACCTACAGAGGAAATCAAACCTACCATGAGACCAGTGAACACAAAATAGATTTACTTACAAAAACCAGCATGTGTTTAATGTGTGCTGGCAGGGAGGAGATCATTACCACAGCAACTAAGTCTCTTCACTGCTTTATGAATTGAGGCTTTTCTTGTAACTTTTGGCCTCAAACACTTGATGTCCATAACCTCAGTGATAATAAATTCAGCAGCATATAAAGGTGTTTGCATGGTGAGATCCTGGGAAGAAAGGACTACTTGAAATATATGTATCAAGATTTTGCTAGTGTTTACCTAATGTTTGTAAACTGCATTTTGTATTTTTTTAATGTTTTTGCACTGAGGGTAGCACCCATAAAAGCCCCCCAAATGCAAGCAACAAAAAATTCCAAGATCCTCACTTTAAAAAATGGGTTAAGAAGGGATCCTCCCTTGAAGATATGAGTGTTCCATGTGGTCTCCTAGGACCTGGGCTATGAGCAGTTAATGCAAGGGCTGTGGGGCTGACTTACCATCCACTGAAAGCAGGGGAAAAATATTATTTTATTCATCATTGCAGTGATGAATAAAATCCCACTGTTCAGCTGAATCCCATCCATTCAGAACACTCAGAAGTTCCATAGCTGTGTCTTTTACTTTTGAGACTGAAAAGCTATTATGAGAAAACTTGTTATGTTGAAAAACCGAGGGTGCTAATGGATTATTAAGTGTCTGGGTTAACCTTACTAGAGATGTTTTCATTGGGATAACTCAATTTAATATAGTATAATAGAATTTTCTGGTATATGTGAAAGTCCAAATGGTGATGTGTAAAAGCAAAGATGAAAAGTCCCTTTGAGAAATCTGTTTGAAAGCTGATTATTTGAAATCGCTGTAACCTTATAACTGCTTGTCCTAGTGATGAGATAATGATATAATTTAGAAGTGGGAGGCTTAGTGATGTATGTTTCATTTAGATTCTTCCTAATAGGTGACATTTGTTGAAAGCTGACTCTTGAACTGTGCTGCATGGCTTTGCTATCTATCTGCCTTGGAGCTGTTGGAGAATGTAATTGCATTTTGCTTCATTTCCTGTATAATTTATGTGAAAATCCCTCAGTGGTAGGAAAGTACAAAGTCCAGATAATGAGTATGTGACGATGTATAAGATTTAGGATGGTTGTTTAGGCTGCAGCTTGAACTGCCCGTGACTCAGGCACTTTCAAGGTCATCTGATATTTAGTAAGCTCAGGCAGCACAATGCTTCTCAGAATGTATAAAATTAATAACATGTTCCCTACTTCTAACAAACATCAGTCTGAATATCATTATTTTTAGATATAGAGGTGTGTCATTGGGGTAGGGTAAGAAGAAATGACCAATTTTATTGCACTGAGTTATTGCAGTATTTAAAGCACACTGTCTTTGTGTGAAAAATATTTAAAGTAATTTTGTGCAAGGGTGTAATATTTTGAAGTTTCCAAAGCTTTCCTTTTTTGTTCTGTTACACTTTCAGAGTTTTTCCTTCATAGTTTCTTGATCTATTTCCAGATCTGAATTCAGGTGATGTAACCACAGCCTGGCACCCCCAGCTTTCCCAAGCACAGTGTTGATGCAATATCCTGGAGAGCGAGAGGAATAAGCTCTTCTCTTTGCAGACAGTAATTTGAGGAGCTGCATTTGTGGTCTTTTCTTGGACAAATGATGATTACTGTTTGCTAATGAGTTCAGTATTGTGTACCTAAACAACCTCCTAGGTTGTAATAGAATTACTAACATTCCTTATGCAGTGAATTAAGCTCATCTGAATTTCCTTGCCCATTTTTTATGAACATCTCCTTTGTGAAGATGTTAGTCAATAAAAGTAGGTGAACTAATCTTACTATTCCAGTGCCAAAGCCTTTAAAATTAGGGTGGGATTTTAGCCTGGGAAATTGAGTGGATGTTACAAAACCCAAGGAAACTAGAAATAGATTTTTATGGATGTCTGCTCCAGATACATCCCACCTCTTCCAGGGTTTGGACTGGCAACCTTGTCCCAGATATCATCACTCTGGAAAGTCCTGGCTGTTCAGTTACTTTCTGCCACATTTTCAGTTGCTTTCTTCATCTAAAATGACAAATTTCTTGTTTTTTTAAATTAATTTATTAAATAGTCTAAAATTATCTTCATTTTCACTGACTCCTAGGCCTGGCTTGTAATGACTCACATAAGTCTGGAAAATAATTTGGTTACAGTGCTTTCAAAAAGGTCTCTGGTGAAATGCACACATCTGTGGGACGCACGCCAGACTGCTGGCAAAGAAAATACTGATTTCATCATTAGGCAAAGAAAATACTGATTTCCTCATAGCAGAAGAAACAGCAGCTTATGTATTCTTGAAAAATCAGTTTTCTGATGGTGTCTAGTTACTTTTTTGCCACCTGAAAGTAGAGAGCCACAAGTCCCAGGGACAGTGAGCCAGGTAGGGAAGGGCAGGGCTGCAAGCCAAGGCATCAGCTGAACTGGCTATAAAAGCTTTAATGCTGTTCTGCCCCTCCATGGGTGTTTGGTTTGGCTTGTGGCTGTTTCTGTTTGTCTTCAGCTCCTTTGCTTCCCTTGGTTTTCTTCCTTAGCCTCTGTCTTAGTACTGGTCTCTAAAACACTCCTGAAAATTTTGATTTCAATATATTCTCTTTGGAGTTGTACTGTTACAGAAATGTATATTTTAATAGTAATGAAACTCATCCAAGAATAAAAATAGTAATCTCATGATGCTGTAAGATCAGTTAACTGCACAGGAGGAGCTTTTGAAATGGAATTTTTTTTACGTGGGATGTGAATTCACAAAGAAAATTGAACTACAATGAGAGCATTCTCCTTGATCCAAGTGTGATAAATGTCAGCAAGAGTTATGAACATGCTAAAATTGAAGAGCAGAACCTACTGTATGAAATTAGACTGTCCAAACAATTTTAGAAGGAGAGAATGATTTACCAGAGCTCAATAGATCAATTTTATTCTCAGTAAGTGAAAACAATGGCTTTGGCACTGTTACCTAGAAATCCCATAAGTGCTCTTATGTCCAGCTGCATATCTGTGTTACCTCTGGGGACTAAACAGGTGAACTGAGATTCCAATCTGAGAATTAACAGTCTGTCTTTGAAGTCTAACTGCTGTGTCTTTTCATCTTAGCTCTTTCAGCTCTGCAAGTAAAGGTCCTCTAGCTATGAGGAGCTTCAGTGTTTTCACACAAACCTGGATGCCCTACAGCATCACTGCCTATCACTGGAGTCTGTGAATGTTTTCAGCACTACTCATGACTACTTCACTTAAAAATACACAAGCTGTCTTGGTCAGTGTTTCCAAATGCTTCCCCCCCACCTTTGTTTTCTGTACTTATGGATGTGAGGGATAATATTCTCTTTTTCTTACCAAGATGACTGGAAAACTTGTCCCTTTCTTAATTTTTTTACCTTGAAATTGAGATCAGCGATGTTCTGAATCTCCCAAGCTGGGAGATTTTGAAAAGTCCTGAGTTGAACTGCATCACTGGAATGATGGGTAAAATTTAAACTCTACCTCTATGGGAATAAAGGATATGGGAAAGAATAAAGCCTACTGTTTCCTTGAATTGTCAGTAAGCAGAGTTCACCAGCCCAGCTCTTTCCTGGGTAAGTGTTTGAACATGCAAAATGATCCTATGGATCAAATTTGAGTCTTCCTATTACACACAGAGAGCTGAAAGTTTTGCAGTAAAAGGCTAATGTCCTGTTTTCCATCCCGTTAATAGCAATTGAAATCAAATCTATAACCCCTGTAGTATTCACTCAGACTAAAACAAACCCAAGCAGGTTTCTGGATTCAATAGAGCATATTGAAATGGGCAGCTGGGTGTTCTGGTTGCTGGACTGCTGGCTGAGTTGAAAAGCAAAACTAAAACCCTCTTTGTGATCTGAGTTAACACTTGAATTCTTTAGAGGCTGCTGCAGGGATCATGGACAACAGAGGATATTGCCAGCTTCAGGGCTAAGTCCTTGAAGCTTGCTTTCCATTTTCCCTGCATCCTTCTGTCAGATGGGCTCGGAATCCATAAGTCTCTTGCTGCTCATTGTGCTTTTAGTGTTTGGTAGTAACTTCACATGATGTATGTGCCTCCAGCACTGGCACTATTAGAGCTGTATAAATGTCAGCTTTAAATTGTCCCTTTGTTTTTTTTAGATCCTCAGCTTTCTTCTAACAAAGGGGAACAAAATTTGTCTGCCTCATTGACACATTAACATACACTAGCCAATTAAATCCATGTCAATCAGTAATGTTAGTGTTTTAATGGGTTTGGTAGTGCTGTAACACCATGACACTAAAGGATACTGCTTTATTTGTGAAATAGAGTCATCTCTAGGAATTATAGATGATGTTAGATTTTAATCTCTCCACTGTGGTTCCTTCAGCTGAAATGCAGGACATCTAAAATCTCAAGGAAAGCTATGAGGCAGGAATGGTAGTACAGATAGAGAGATATCTGTGTTTCTCTCCTGCATATTTTGGAGATCTAGCTTATGTCTTCTGGGGAATTCAGACTGTTACTGTGTCAAAACCTGCCTTTTGGGGCATTTGGGTGAGTGTTTATCTGCAATATGAGATTAATGTTTATGCACATGGTGGAATAATCAAGGATGGACTGTGGTAGAGTGGCCTGAGCAGAGGGGCACTTATGCTCATGAGCACAGGCAGCAGAACCTGCCCCCAGTGCTGTGCCACTGGCTGAGCTGCAAAGGAAAACAACTACAGACAAGGAAGGACATTTGAACTAACATATTCCTGCTTTTAAATTATATAATTGAAAATATATCTTGTGGCATGTCAAAAAAAGTGATGATGTGGGTATGTTTGCAGTTCTCTAAAGGGTGTTCCTGGCATCCAGAATAGTTTCTTTGTTTTTCCAGCTAGGAAAAAGTAATAAGACTTTTTAGGGGAGAATTCTGGGCTGATATGTATTCCTTTTGGCTGTTTGCTTTCACTCGATGCATGGTCTGACAGGGAGAGGAGAGTGGGATGTTTTCTTTGTCATGTGAACTGGCAGCCAAATAGGAAAGCCATTTAAAGGTTTGTGGATTTAGGAATGGTACACAAAGACTGAGATGTCAAAGATCTAACAGCCTTTGTTTTATAGACTTCAAATGAAAGAAAAAATAAAACACAGTACAGAAAAAAGTATTTTTTTTCTGTGATCCATCCATGGTAAGCTGAAAACTGGAGTCCAAAGGCTTTAGTCTCTACAGGGGCTAAGGGAGGTGGGTGCAAGAGATGCTCAGAGTGAGGTTGGGACTAGAGAGTTCAGTTCACAGAAAAAGCCCCACACAGTGGGTCTTAGCAGGCTTTAATAGTCATGCATATGACATATTCTGTGGTGCAGAATACAGCTGAACTCTGAATAGGGGCATTTCTTTACCATTCTGATTTGTGCTAATGCAACTCGCAGATTTCTAGGGAAGCTTCACCCAGCTAGCAAACTCTAGGCTTTATTGTGAGATACATTTTAGAAATGCAGAATCATATTTATCTGGTCCTTACTTGTCATCTCAGAAATTCAGTCAATTACACCAAATGGACTTACTCTTCCAATACTGTAACAAAAGATAAGGCTTGTGACCACTTAGCCCTTTAGTTAACTAAATAAGTCTAGGACAATAGACAGTAAAAAAGTGAAAAGTCTCACCAAGTGGCAATACTTCAGATTAATTCAAGGTGGAGAGAAAAAGCAGCCTGTGCTATCCTCTACAGGAAATTTAGAAGCAAGAACTAAATGTTCTTTTTGTGAGACACTGCAAACAAAAGTTAACTACAACAGACCATTGATTTATGCAATCAAAATTGTTGCTGCACTGTGTGCAGAGCTATTAAGGAGCGAAAATACCAAGTTAGGAACAAGTAAAAACTCTGCAAACTCTTCCTTTCACTCCCACTTTTTGAGCATCAAATTATGGTTGCAGGAACTATTAATATCTAGTATTTTTGCCATGTTTTGATAATGGCACCAGAATATATATAACTTCTATGATGGAGAAAAGCCCTAAAAATTCACTTCCCTGGCCCCAGCAGAGCCTGGAGCAGTTTATTCTATCCTGGCAACCAAGCCCAGCACCACAGAGATGCTGACAGAGAGGTTCTGTTGGTGCTGACCATAGAAAGGGTGTCAGGAGACTCCACCACTAAAACTGGAAGTCCTGTGGGAGAATGCCATTGCATGTTTCTCTGATGCTGAAGTCCAAAACACAAACCACCTTGCTTTTGCAGAGCAAGAAGCTTGTGTCAAGCACAGGCAGCAGAAACACCAAGAGCACCTACAGTGTTTGTTGGCAGCACCACTGAGAGCGGGCCAGTGCGGTGTGCTGGGTGGCACTCAGAGGGATGTCCCTCATCCACAACAAGGCAAATCTGGCTGTGAATTAAGAGTTGAAGCTTTGAAATCTGCTTCCCACCTTGACCTGGCCTTCGAGGGGCAGTGGTGGGGCTGCCGTGTGCTGTGGCTTTAAGGCACTGCCAGGCAGCAGCAGTTCCTCCAGGCTGGAGCACCAGAACTGATCCTCTGCTCCACAGGGCTCGCAGCACTGGCTGCTCTCTGCTTAATAACATTTGGCTGCTGCTGAGACGCCTGAGCAGCGAGCTCCAGCTGCCTCCCAGCCCTGCAGGGTCCCACCTGCCACCATGGCAGCAGCACAGGGCTCCCCTGCGCCCAGGGCTGCCAAGTCCTGCAAGAAGCAGCGCACGGTGAAGCGGCAGACTGGCATCTACACCTACCAGGAGCCTCCCCACAGGTAAGGGAGCCAGCCTCTCTCAGGGGAGAGTCTGCTTTGTCTGGCACGGCAGTGGGATCTTGTCTTTTCACTTTCATGCAGACAGAGCGTGTGTCGGACTGGGGAAAGTAGTCTGGTTTGAGTAACAGTGTGGTAGCATGGAAATGAGCATGAGAAAAATCCTTCTCTGTATTTTAAGATGTATTTCAAACATTTTTTGTGTGTTTTTTTTTTTAATTTTGCCAAAGTCACATTTCATACTGAAACATAAGCACTGTACATAAAGCAAAGTAACTCCAAAGAGCTCAGGGTATAGCATGGTACAAAATCTCTTTTTCTTCTCCTGTGAAATTATAAATTTCTCCTGAATATCCCCTGTGACTGAAGGGACAGGACTGCAGACCAACAGATTAGTGGTCTGATGAAGTATGTCCCCCATATATTCTTCCATGGCATGGTTTAGGTTATGATTTATTTCTATGTGATTAAAAGGCTTTTAATCAAAATTGCAGGGAACTTTCCCAGTAAGTACACAGCAATACAGTTGGGAAACTTCCTGGCTGGTGGTTGCAGCAATACTTCAGATCCCTTCATGTATTCAGGGAGAAACAGTCACCACAGCTTTTTAGACCTAATCCTCCGTAAGAATGAATATTGCTGCTGTTTCATAGACCAACAGGGAATTGCAAGAGCTGTAGCTTAGCAAATGTGGTGACAGCATCAAAAAAGATGATTTAATAATCATCTACAGAAATCTGCATCAAAGCACAGGAATCTTTTCACAGGGACAAGTAGTTCTTGGTATGTGGAGTCGCACACCCCTGTGCTCCTCAGCAGAGAATAGGGTAGACACTGACCATGACTGAATCACCTGCTGCCCTCATTCTAACAATAAAATATTTTATCATTATTGAAATTAAAATAATGGGTATGTTTAAAAAATGAATGCTATCTGTCCTCTCTAATGTTTAGACAGCACATTCTTCCAGAAAAATCTACAGGCAGTCTTGCTAGCGTGATGTACGAGCAGAATGGCTGGAAATGATTGGATAAGAAAAACTGGGATTCATGGTCAGGAGTGGGGATAATTTATGACTGACCAGCAAGTGGTGGGGAGGGAAAGAGGTATGTCCTGGAGGTGGAGAAACCATCCAAATAATTATTTAACTTTAAAACAATAAGGTGTTGTGAGTTCATTGTTTTTACAATGCTCTAAGAGTTGGATCCTGTGCAAATCAATGCTTTGCTGGGAATCCAACAGGAATAACTTGTCTCCTTTTTGCTCTCGTGGGCTTTGTGCTGGGCTGCCAGCAACTCGGATGACGATGCTGCTGAGGAGAAGGCTGAGAGCCATGACCCAGAGCAGATATTTCAGAACATCCAGTACCAGAAGGAGATCATGTCCAACATCCGCTGCCGGCCGTGGCCGATGAGGCAGAAGCTGAGGGCGCTCAGGTAAAGGTGCTGCACAGAGATTTTCAGGCTCACTGACTGTGACAGTGCTTCCAGCCTCGGGACTGTTCCAGTGTAAATGGAAGGGTTTGAGAACAGGAGTGATTTAGAGCTGCTAGGAAAGTGTTCCATGCGGATGCTCTGGGAAGATCTGAGGGCTGGCTGAAGGCAGCAGCCTCTGGGTGGACAGTGTGTAAGTGAAGTTGTCTCTGGTGCATTCCTGTGGCTCCCTTTAGAAAGTCACAGCACAAGAGAGCAAGAAATCATGCTTTGGCTATTAACTACTAAAAGAGACTGTCATCTATTCATTGGTCTCAAGGAAGGCTTTTGATAATGCTCCATAATATGCTTTTAAGTTAAATTGTTTCACTGTGTCCCAAAAAGGAGAACCAGTCTGCCTTTTTAAGGTAATTACATGGTGTGATGACAGAAGCTGGTCATAGCTTCAGACAACATACTGTAAATGCAATAAATACTGGACACCTGTGTTTAAAAAGTATGGTCAGTGTAGTAAAAATGTGTTTCACGGTCTAGGATTTCAGTCATTATAATTCCAAATTTCCAATGAAATTGCATGTGACTAATTCTTCAGGTCACCTGTCAAAACTATGTCAGGTCTTTCACCTCATGATCTGTGTGATGCTTGGGGTTTTTTTGCCCTTTTCATCTGGCATTTTCTCTCAAAACTCTGTACGGTGCTCAGATGGCAGTGTAGCCCCGAGGAATCCCTACCCTACCAAAAGCCCTTGTATCATCTGGCAAAGAGAGGTTTTTCTCTCTTAGGCACAGCCTGTGACTTCCTGCTTTCCAGTTCCTTTTGATCAGATCTTGGTCCCAATCCACCTTCTGCTGAGGTCAAAGACTGTATGACCAGAGGAACATGCCCCTCTTTGCATCTCACAAGACAGCTACTCCATACCTGCAGAAGAGATGTCCGTATCCACAGAAAATTACCAGACTGTACAGGGCATCTTGCTGTTTTCCTCATTTGGGTTCTACCACTTTAAAAGAAAGATTTTGAAACAAAAGGACAGATAAATAAATTAGAGGAACAGAAAACTCTCCCTGCAGTCAAACTCTTGAATGCTAAGTTCTCTCAGACAAAAGTCTGAGTGGTTTGAAGTATCTGCAAAAGACTCAATAGTCAGAAAACATGCATTGCCTGGGTTGGGGCTGATGGTGGGACAGCCCATGGCTGTATTTCAGAGCACTTGGGCCGTTTTGTGGATGCTGCTCGTGCAGAATGGGCGATGTGAGCAATGGGATCTGTGGAGACTGACGCTCCCCTGTTGCGCAGGCAGGCGAAGGAGATCGTGCTGAAGTACGAAGGGAGGCTCACGAGAACCAGAGGTTACCAGGCTGCTGGGGCAGAGGTATGGCTGCTTCCCCTCAAATCTCTGAAATCTCTTCTTCCCACCAACAGCCATTTGCAGTTCTGATTCACAGAAGTGTGTGTTTGCTATGCGCTCCTAATACTTCAGCTTGGGATTGCAGAGAGAGAAAAAAGCAGATAAAAGCTTCTTTATTTTTTTCTCCTTTTTTTTTTTTTCCATTGTAATTTTAGTAATTACGATTTTGCAGACTAATTTCATGTGCTGAGGGATGAATATCCTTCTGTTAATGCAGTATAAGCTTTCTTTTCAGACAGCCTACAAATGTTGATGCCTGTTAGAGGGGGTGATGAGACTGGGATAGCAACAAACATGATGCAATATCCTCTAAAGAGCTATTTCAACAAACTGGGGCCACAGTTCAATAGACTAGTATGAAAAATGTGTCTAGCTTTTAGTTTGGAAGACAATCCTACAATAGCTTATGTTAAATACATTATTAAAGAAGGGGTTTTGCTTGCATTATACTCAGAGAATTTGAATCAAATATTAGCAAATCTATTTACACCACTGAAAATAGACACTGGCGTGAGTTTCTGGAAATTTATAATATGCAGGAAATTGTATTTAATAAGCAACCAAGAGAAGACTTCTTTAGTCATCTAAGCAATCAAAAATATTTTTGTTGTCATAACAAGTAGACTTTTAATTACTAATTTATCTTAATTCAAAAAGGCAGGGTTAGGCCAATAGAACACCATGCTTTTTATTGATGAGAACAAGTGAAGAGCTGCACATGTATCTGGTGCTCTGAGGTGCTGGCCCCCAGAAGCACTTTCCAATGTAGAAAGAGTAAGTTTGCCTTGTTCTGCCTTTGCATGTGTGGCAAAGGCAGTGGAAGTAAAAATGCTGTTAAAATAAACACTATTTTTTGCCTTTGATATGAGTGGAACCAGGACTTTAGCTAGAAAGAGAAGTCCTAAATCAGAATGTCAGTAAATCAGAGATTGGGCTCAGTGCTTGTTCATATAATTCTTCCTATACAAACCCAAAAGCTTTTATCTTAGAGTTCACAGTGAATAAAAGTTTGTGTCTTACTGCCTCTGTTGTATTTGCATGAAGACATTCAGCACAGGGGTGTAATTCAGCAGTTAACTAGTACCACTCATTATGTGTAGGGGGTCTGTATTCTTTTATCCTAGCACAAATTAGGAGCTTTAGGCTTTACATTAGGGCTAAATTCAGCAACAGCAACAGAATGAGCTGCCCTTTTTTTAGTGTGGGTTTTTTTTGTTTTGTTTTGTTTTGTTCTTTTTGGTTTTTTTTAACTGGAAGTGATTTTTTTCCTGCATATTTTCTTATAAGATAGCATGGTGACCAAGGAGACAAAAATTTTAGCACAACAAAACAAGCACTACATCATCAAAGTTAAGAACTCAGTGGCTGAACATGTGCTAAGAACAAAATGCAGCCACTAGGTGTATATGTATTTACATAAGTTTTTCAAACTTGCATAATATATAGTGCTCGTTATTGAACAGTCCAGTCATGGTATTATTTATGAAAATTTAAGTTAAAATATATATTTACTATCTTGACACTGAAAGCAATTTTATTTTTTCAATTCAATTATTTTATACTTTCTTTGTCGCTGTGTTTTTGGGTTTTTTTCCTCAGTTAAAGCCAGATGCCCATACTGTGGCTTCTAAGAGCGTAAATTACCCATTCAACTACATAGTAGGGAGGAAAAGAGATGATAGCTATCAAATGATAATTTTAGTAAAATTTGCTTCACTGTGAGCACCTTGTTATTCTTTATAAATTTGTAGTGCAGCTGGTACAAGGTGCTTGAGTCCTTTCTCAGCCCTGTGTACCCTGAACTGAAAGTTGCAAACCCAGAAATTCCCACGTAGTTCCCAGCATCTAAATTTTTGTAATTAAAATACCTCCCATTCAGGCAATGAAATGTCCATATAATCATAAATATTAATTAACTTTAGCCAAAGAGACTGATTATATTTTCAGTAATTAAAATTTTATTTACTCTTCTTTAATATTAGGAGATTGAATTATGTGATAGAATATTGACACTGCTATTAAAAATGCCTAAATAAAATATAGGAGGGATTTTAATATCTAACTGTACTAAAAATACTTTAATGCCTAGAATACAATTTTTTTTTCCTGTTGATACTGTGAAGTTATAGTTCTAACTCAACAACTCAAAAATTGCTCTCACTTTTGCACAAGTGGATTTTACTTTTTCTCCCACATGTGTACGGTGTGTGCAGGAAGAGCCTCTGATCCTCCAGCTTTGTAAAAAATGTGGGTTAATAAAGACTATACTAAATATAACCACAGGATTTTTGCAGGTGTTGGCTACAATACATAGAGCTGAGAATATAGCAGTTACATTTGCTGCTGTTAAATAAAAAAGTGTATTTTTCCTCTAAGAGAAATTCCTTTGAGGCATTATGCTCCTAACAAGACCTTAGCCACCAATGTTTATAACAGTTCTTGTGATAAAAGATAAGACATGAGCAAAATACTTAGCACATCATTTTTAATTTTTTTTTCATGCAAAGAATTATCATATTTTTCTGCTTTTTTCTCAGCTTTGGAAGAAGTTTATTCGACTTGCATACAATTTTGTGGTAATCTTTATTCCTTGGGAAATGAGAATAAAGAAAATAGAGAGTAAGTATAAAGATGTAATGGTATTAGTAAAACACTTGTTAAAATGCTGAGTCTTATAGTGTATTTTTTAAATGTACTGAATTAAATAATATTTGAGAAGGAGTTAAATGCATATTTTCAGCAGTGAATTCTTTACTTAAAAATTTGCTTTTTCATCATTTTCTGGTGTCTCAGTTCTCATTGATAATCTTAGATGGGGGATAACTTTTAAAAAAGTCAATTTTGTTCCTTTGGGATTCTGAAAATGAAAAAGTTCTCTAGTTTGCTAAATGTCCTCCATAAGAGAGATTTTTCTTTTTGACCTGTTATTCAAACACTTCATGGATAAATGATGCAATCTTTTATAGACTGTGCGGGTCACATAATGGTTTTTTGTGGTTTAAGGTCATTTTGGGTCTGGAGTTGCCTCTTACTTCATCTTCCTGAGATGGCTGTTTGGAATCAATATTGTCCTTACCATAATGACAGGAGCATTTGTAGTCCTACCAGAGGTAAGAACACACTGTTAATATTTACAGAGAAGCACTTACTGTTGAACTTTCCTTTCTCAATGGAATAAACACCACACTTTAAGTATGCATCCGTTTGAAATGTACCCTGTAAAATGAATTATTTAAAATAAATTCCCCTATTAAGAGGTTTTTCTCTGCCAAGGATAACAGACTTTTTCTATTAGTGTTCAAGATAGTATTTTGTCAACATGGTACTAATGTTTTTAGAGAATATGTTTTTATTTGATTACTAAAATAAAAAAGCCATTCTTAAAAGATGTAGTGGGTGTTGAGTACACTTAAGTCCTATTAGTGTCATTTACACTAATGAGAAGTATAAATGACACTAAGAAAAACAAAACATCCCTCTCCAGACTCTGGATTATTGTCCATTAGAAAGCTTTTCCTACAAGTTCTGAACAGCCACAACTTTATTTAGTTCTTGCATATGAGTAAGGCAATTTGTGAACTTTGTTAAATTATTCACACTTATTATTTTGCCTCACCTACCCTGTGCTTTTATAGTGTTATCATAAAACATGGGAATACCTGATTTTATTCTCACTGCACAAAATAAAAAAGTAAATACCCCTCGAACAAATAGGAAAAAAATTGTATTCACATTCACTTTTTAATTTTTAAGGAAAAATAAATTTAATCCTGAACTATCATTTTGAGATCAAACACTGCCCCATTTAATTTAAAAATGCTCACATAGAAAGCATGGCTTTTAAAGCTGGCACAGAGCTGAGACAGCACTTGCTACCCTGAGAGCACCACACATGTGGGCAGCTCTGGATGGGCTCCACTGTGCAGCCCAGGCTCAGATGGGCTCGTGCAGCTCCTGAGAGTTTCTCTCTCTTTCCCATCTCCTGAGAGTTTCTCTCTCTTTCCCATCTCCTGAGACCTCCTCTCTCTTTCCCATCTCCTGAGACCTCCTCTCTCTCCCACAGCTCCTGGCCGGGGCCCCGTTCGGCAGCACAGTCAGCAAGACCATTCCCAAGGAGAACATTGCATCTGCTCAAGACCTGGACACCATCTGGTCCCTAGGGGCAAGACTCAAACCACTCCTTGTTATTTTGCTGTTGCTGTTCTGTTGTAATTGTTGGTTACTGCTCTTACTGACGGGCTCTGGTCTTTGCAGGGCTACCTCCAGTACTCTGTTCTGTTTTATGGCTACTATGGTCGGGACAGGAAGATTGGGAAAGCTGGATACCGGCTGCCTCTTGCCTACTTCCTTGTTGGAATGGCTGTGTTTGCTTACAGCTTCATCATTCTTCTAAAAAAGTAAGACTGCTCATTTCCTGCTGTTCCTAAACTTGTGTGTTCAGGCAATCAGCAATGGTATTTACTCCTCTTCCTCCGTATTTATTCTGTGCAGTTCTATTAACATGCTCACCTCTGCTAGTATCATGGAGGCAGAGTTCAACTCTAGATTGCCCTTTATCTTGCTGTAATTCTCATTCTCTTTTCCATTTCCCAGCCTTTAAAAGGAGGGCAGCATAAATCATCTGCAAGCTTTGTATTGGTGCAGTTTAAGGCCCAACACCTGTGGAAGTCCTTTCCCCTCTTTTCTGTAATAAATACTGCTATGACAGGATTTATATTTGAACTGTAATGCTTTCAGCATTATTAATATTCCCCTCTATTGAAATACAAATATAAAAGTGCCATCCTAGGTGTAATACCATTTGCATTGCTTTAGTGGGTACGTGGCATCCCATTGGAATGTAAGCTTAATTTCTTTGCTGTGGAAGGGAAGGAGTGGGAGTTACTTAGCAGAGAGAGCAAGACTGCCTGTGCTGACTATAAATCCAGGGATGTGCAATGCTTGGAGAAGGGGCAAGGTCACTCTATCCTCTCCTGATCTGCTTTCTCTTCCCTTCTGGATACCTATTCATCTGGCACACTGCAGTCCAGGGATGTTTTCAGTGCTGTCTGTAATAGCTCTCAGTTTTGAGGTCAAACCTTCCCTTTTCATTTATTTTTAATCTACCTGCTGGTTTGTGCCGAGGGTCACCAGTATATTTGACACCGATCTACACATCTGCAATTTCTAGACATGATCAGCTTTTCTTCTGACTTAGCTCAGTGATCCTTTGCTTAGCTGTGTAATGCTCCCCTTTAACATTGTCCTTTCAGATGGCCTTTCTTTCACAGGCCATTAATCTTCATTTCATTTCCTATGTTTTGCAATATTCTGCCACCTTGCTCACCTGGCATGAGTAGGAGGTGTTTTCTTTCTTGTTGCCAAGGTCTGTAAAATGGCCCTGGGTTTCTCTTTGACAGTAATATATATTTTGAGGTTTAAAACAGCAAAAAAAAAAACAGACCTTGTGCACAATCACTAGTTATGCCAAACTAGATTTAATTCCTGTAACAGTGATGTTAGTGATTATATATTTCAGCTGGATCCTACCTAGAGGTTGTAAAACTGAAATAGGTGTATGCCCACAGTAAAATTTATTTGCTTTATTTGTCAGTTGTAAAGACTGTAAATATTGAAATGCCCTTCCACAGTGAGTCATTTCTCTCTAGATGTAAAGTCAAGTTCATGAGCTGCATCTCACTGTGTTTTATGTTCTTCAGAAAGCTGCCAACAGTGATACTAATTTCTGCAACCTTTGGTAGCTCTAAATGTATAAATATCTGAAAACCATGAACCAAACCAGTGACTTTCTTCGTTACCATCTTCACACGCCAGAAGCAGTTAAATACCTGTTATGTTTTTTACAGAATGGCAAAGAACTCAAGAATGAGTTTAGCAAGTGCCTCTGATGAAAATTACACTTTCTGCTGGAGACTGTTCTGTGCTTGGGACTATTTGATAGGAAACCCTGAGGCTGCAGAGAGTAAAGCTGCTGCCATAGTCAACAGCATCAGGGTGAGCAACTGACCTTTGAATTAGTTCAAGTTGATTTATTTGTTAAATTGTAAGCCATGTAAGTTTTTCCTCTCACGCCCTTGAACTTCCTATAGGATTTTTTGGATTTATTTGCATATCTATTTGCCTAGGGGAGGGCTAGTATCACATCTGTGTGGTATTACAGGCATATCATATTTGCTGCCATCCCAGCAAGGCCATTGTGTCATTCCTTGGGAGAGTTTTATTTAATGTGCCTGTATGTGTGACAAGAAGTTAGATAACCAGAAACAAATATGCTAGTGATGAAATTTCATAGAGTGTTGGAATGAAATTCATATTAACAATTGATTTGGCAGGAAAATAAACAAATTTACAGAATGTATAATTGTTTTTATGCAAAGGAAGAGTTTTATGCCTCAGGGCATCCATGTTCAACAGCTCATATTTTACAAGATGCTTTTTTACATGATAATAAGTTTTATATCTCTTTCTTTGGTTTATAAATTTCTGAACTCAATTTATTGTTCTTTCTTCTTTACTTTATCAGCTATTAATCAGGGTCCTCAGGGAAGTGGCCATGGCATCAAGCCTGTTGAAGTCCAAGGAGCATCTGGATGATGCTTTTAGTGAAATGGTTTAGTTTTAAGTATTCCTCTAAGTGTCAGGAAGTTGGACTCAATGGTCTTTATGGGTCCTCTCCAACTTGAGATATTGTATGATTCTATAGTTTATTTCATCTCTCCATAACAAATGGAGGGACATTTTACAGGTCTCTCAATTTTAGAAAACTGTTAAAAATATAGATATTTTGCATCTAGAATTTAAGAACATATGTGGTTTTATCAAAAGTAATTTATTAACCAAATGTGGTGTAGTCTCATTATCATTACACAAAAATTACTTCAAATTCTGACAAGGACAAACTAATAAGCTATGTTATTTAGTTATTTCAATGACTGAGGATTAACTTTGACAGTACTATATTATATTAGTGACTCAGATTTTAAAGGCACATTCTGCCAAAAAATCTGGAAGTGTAACCCGAAATTTCTATCTCCTTGAACATGCACAGCTGAAATTGCCCGAGTATCTGATTACTGTGTATTTGTTTCTCAGAAATCTCCATCACTTTTTAATATCACATATCAGTGCTACAAATCAATGAGAACAGTGCTATTTATCTGCTTGCACCTCCAGGATGTGATGGTTTTTTTATTAGTATACTTTAATTTCTGTGAAAGATATGTGCATTATTTTTTTTGAACATTATTAAAATGGTAATGCTGTGTTTCTTTCAAGGAAGCTATATTGGAAGAACAGGAAAAGAAGAAAAGCAAAAACTTGTATGTATATGAGATAAGATATACTTTTCAAAGCACTGTTTCAATGCAGATATCGGTGCTAATCTGCTTGTTTTATACATCCAAACCCTGTTAGAACGACCCCTGGTGCCATAGGACAACCTGCTGTATTGGTTGTATCTTCCTTTTTTTCCTAGGGCAGTGACCATAAGCTTAAGAATTATTGCAAACATCCTCGTGCTTCTGTCCCTTGCGGGAAGTATTTACATCATCTACTTTGTCGTGGATCGATCCCAAAGGTTAGAGCGCACCAAAAAGGAATTGACTCTTTGGGAAAAAAATGAGGTACTGTCTTTATGCCACCTCTCTGTTAGAAGCAGGATTGTTGTCTGGGTGCTTTCTGTAGCAATATTGTGCACAGAGGAGTAAATAGCAAGAGATGAGCCAGGAGAAATGAGGAATGCGTGGCAGACCTGGATCTGCCTGGGTGCACTTGTTCCTTCAGCTCTGCAGCCAGGTGTGAGTGCAGCTGAACTGGGCAGAGTGGGGTGCAGGTGCTCATTTCACAGACACTGTAGTTCTAGCAGGTCCCTATTTTGTGAGCAGAAAGCTTAATCTCTCCTGTCACTTACAAATCTACTTTTATGCCCAGGTCTGAACTGAGCAAACTGATGGACTAGAAAGGAATTGGCTTTGATAGCAGTGACCAATTCAGTATTTTCATTATCACTGAAAATTCTGTGACTATTTCATTCTGTGACTGTTTCATTCAGAGGAATGAGTGAGAGTAGAAAGCGAATAGTCATGAAGAAGCCACTCACCCATTCCAGAGGAAGATGCTAGCACCGTATTTCCTACATGATAACTTTTAATTTCAATTAATAAAGTAGAACTTTAAAGCTACAATATCTGGAGTAAGGACTTCCAAGTTGTATTCCAAATCTATAATTTTTGATCATAACTACTGTTATTACTAATGTCAATAATACCTTTTAAAAGCATCTCCTCCAAGAAAAGCAATCACCAAAGCATGTGCCTCCGCAGTACTTCAATCAGCCCAAGATTCCACAGAAGACCTTCATCAACCACTGTATGTTTCTGTTCCACAGGTCAGTGTAGTTGTGTCACTGATCACAATGATTGCACCCTCTGCTTTTGAACTTGTGGCAGCTCTGGAGATGTATCATCCAAGGACCACTCTTCGCTTCCAGCTTGCCAGGTATGGGCATTATTCAGTGTAAAATATATGTGGAGAAAAAAGGAGGAAAGGAGAAGTGTGATCTGGTTCATGTTTAGTACAGCCAAACCAGAGAATGTTTGAGAAACCAATGGTTACCAGTGCTGGTAATCCATATTTTATTCTCTTTTCAGGGTTCTTGTCCTCTACCTGGGAAACCTCTACAGTTTAATCATTGCCCTCCTGGATAAAGTGGACAGTATGAGTGTCACTGTAAGTTTAACTTGATGTTTTCTGATGTGTAAAGCTAGTAGACTTTATAGAAGAATTCTGTTTATTGTGAAGTATATGAAGTTAGATTAAAATTGTTTGAAATAATTAAAATATTATGGATTGATAGGATTGTAAAGTTAAGTTTAGAGAGTAATGTTTATTTACAACTACTTATAGAGCATTTTAAATTCATTTTTAAGGGTAACTGGATCCATTTGATTGCTGATGTAGTGAGATAAATAGATTTCTGTGCATTGCTGAACTCTTAAAGTAAAAAAACCTCATCACTGTAGGTCAAATATTTTCACCTACCTAAATTAGCTTTAAGCCCTGCCCTTTGGTGCTCCATCTGACACCCTGTCCATTCACAGCTGTTTAACAGTTGCCTAACTGCTGCTTGGAAATATATGAAAAAATGTCCTCTGTGTGTGTGTGTGCTGTAGAAGGTGCAGACATCTGCACCTATGCACAGTTAAAAAGTAGCTTTTGGGACATTTATTATTTCAGGACTCTGACGTGAACAACAATGCAAGTAATTCTACCATCTCCTTAGCAACCAACGCTCTTTCTAAGGACGGCAATTTAACCATTCCTAATGTACAAATTAAGAGAAATGGCTTTGTCACATTGGAAGAGCATCGCACCCAAGGCCTGACAGACTCACTGGTTAACCAAACAATTTACTTTAACACCCAGAACCCACAGGATCAGTGCTGGGAGACATATGTTGGTCAAGTACGTAATTGTTTTATTGTCATCAATTTACTCTACTTAATTCGCGTTTGACAAAAAATTAAAATTGTGTTGTGCTGTGTTTAATTTTAGAACTTTTCTTTGTATAAATTTCAGAATTTAGCTAAGGATGACATAGGAAAAGTAAAGATTGTGCAAAGTGCTATGGCCACAGATACAAGCTTTGGGTTTTGTTCAGTAGCTACAGTATGTTTAGTGCTGTTCAAATGTTCTTTTGCCAAGTTTGGTCTCTGTCTTCAGCTCTGCACAGGCAGATCTGTACAGATCTGTGATACAGATCATATTTTAACAGGATACATCCTTCTAAGCCCTACAGAGAAACAAGGCTACAAAGACATACTAACAGCAACATGCACTGTGTGCAGATTCAGATTGCTGCCTCGAGAGATGGAGATGCAAACCTGAAACAAGCACAAGATTGTGCTCTTGATCATTTGTTCCATATCAGAAGTCTCTATTCATTCTGCCTCAATAAATCTCTAGACAATCAAGTGCTCTTCACTTTTTCAGAGGGAGAGAGAACAATAACAAAAGGTTTCAAAATCCCCTCAGTTTGTAGGAATGGGGCCAGCTGGACAGCAGTGCCATATTCCCACCTTTGGGGTGCAGAAAATCTGCAGATTCAATATGACACCTCCTCTTAAAGGGAAATAATTCATATATTCAATTAATATTTTATCAGAATACTGAACTTGAGTCAAAAATACAATCACAAATGCAAAAGTGCCATATGCAGTCTGTTTGCTTTCAGAATGACTCAGTGTGTGTGAACAATGTGTATTTCAGGAGATGCTCAAGCTTTCAATTATCGACATGATTTTCACAGTTGCAAGCATCCTGCTAATTGATTTTTTCCGTGGACTGTGTGTCCGGTATTTGAGTGATTGCTGGTGCTGGGATCTAGAAAGCAAGTTTGTAAGTACAATCCTTATTATATCAAGCTAAGATGTTGAGGATCGGTAGGCTCCTTCTCTCAGTACTAAATGTCCTTAAAGTCTTTCTGCAGAGGAATAACTTCTTGGTAGCACACATCTAGAAAGGCACAGCTCACACTGAGTTTAAATTGGAGGGTACAGGATAAATGCTGAGATTAATGTTTTTCTCAAGCCTACTCATATGGCAAAAATATTTGGTTTTCACAAAATAATATCATAGAGCAGTTCTCACAGTCTAACGTGACACAGAGGGCATGTAGCTGTTCCCCACATCCTCTTTTCTGCAGCTGTAACATCTTTACCAAGAAACAGCAACCAACTGCACACAGCCCTCTAAGAAAATTACAGTGAGTAATATTTGGTTAGCAAGAAGCTGTTGGCTTGAAATACTGTGGACTGTTTGTTCTTAAAGATGAGAAGTAAAATAAAGAGGAAAAGGTTTGTTTAATCCCTGCCTGCAGAGTAGGTTCTGCTGTGTTCCCACTGCCTGCCAGCAGCTGGTATTTGATCTGGATGTTTCAGGCCATGTACTGTATGATTCAGTCAAATACACCTAATAAATGGCCTGAAAACAAGATTAAGACCAAGGTATTCTTCTTACACTGTGTCTCTTGTAGCCAGAATATGGAGAATTCAAAATTGCAGAGAATGTATTGCATTTGGTCTACAACCAAGGAATGATCTGGTATGTAGTCTTTATGTGTTTCTTCTTGTCCTTTGTTGGCTGATTGCTAAGTCAATCTGATTATTTAAATGAAACCGATTTAACTAGGATATTGACAGTGTAGTCTTTTATATTAAGAGATCATCTGTTATTAATTAATAATTAATATTATTAATCTGTTTACCTGCTGTGAATTTTGGGGGTTTTTTTAGTCTATTCTATTGCTATCAAAAGGCTTCTGGCAACACTGAGCACTGATATGATATGACATGATACGATATGATTGATATGATATTATATGATTGATATGATATTATATGATGTTTCCAGGATGGGAGCTTTCTTTTCACCTTGCTTACCAGCATTCAATGTGCTCAAGTTGATTGGACTCATGTACCTGAGGAGCTGGGCTGTGCTGACGTGCAATGTACCACACCAGCAGGTTTTCAGAGCATCTCGGTGAGTCAAAATGAGAATGAAAGATAAGGAAAAAATCAAATGCAGGCAATGGAAATATCTTTCTTCAATATGAAGAAAATTACAGGAGATTTTAGCTTTAAAAGTTGACAATCAAATTTCACACTAACACTGATAGCAAAGGTCTGAGGAAAAAGATATAGTTAGTGAGAAACTGGAGGGCTCATGAGGGACGGTAGTTGAAGATATGCAAGAACTAAAAAATATGTCAGGGAATGTTCCTAGATAGCTATTATGGCCTAACATAAATGCTTTAATTCCATACAAATCTGACAGACCACAATAACCTATATGTATTAACTGCTGCAAGTCCTATTTCTTGCTGTTTCTCTCTAAAAGATTTGCAATATCTGCTTTTGTCCATTGCATTGCACAACACATTTCCTCATTTTTTTATCATTATGAATATTTAAATTGTTTTTTTTTAAATGGAAATAATTCTGGGCATCTTTAATTCTTAATAAGCAGGAATTTCTAACATTTTGTTAAGATTAATTGACTTCTGATGATGTTCTTTTTCTTCCCCAACACAACTGGGCAGTAAGGGTGGCTTTTGTCAAAGGGTGCAACCCTTTCTAACCAGTTCTCGAACTGCAACAGTGGTATCTGGAAAACATTGCAAATAGAATTTTGATCATTAAGATCTGTTTAAACCATCTCTGTTCAGACTTTCTAATTATAGCAGAATGATTTTCATCTGTCAGACATAATCTTGAACTGGATAGGTAGAATTCAGATTTGCACCTTTTATGTTGCCTCTGGTTTTCTCTCTGATAAGTATAATCTGAAACATGTTACACCTTCTTGCAGATCCAATAATTTCTACTTGGCCATGTTGCTGTTTATGCTGTTCTTGTGCATGTTGCCAACCATCTTTGCTATTGCCAGATATAAGCCATCCTTAAGCTGTGGCCCCTTCAGGTAAGGTATAATGGACCAATGAAAATCGCAAAGATTTTACTTCCCCCTCTTCCAATAAGCTTATCATGTTTCATAATACACAAATTACACATTTTTAATTTTTTTAATTTATAAATTAGATGTAAATTCAAAACAAGTTGAGAGGACAAAGCTTTTCTGCTACCAATATTGTATTGTTTATGGTTTAATAAGGTGAATAGGTCAAAGTTCTGAGTTGGTTTGCTTTATATATATAATTTAGTTAGTTTATATTTACACTGAGAAATCTCCCAAACATCACTGTCTTGTGTCTTCATTCAAGCACCCTCCAAGCTTTTTTATTATTCAGTGCAACACTGCTTAACAAATATACTCAGGATTCCTTACAACTTAATTTTACTTTTTTTTTCCTCCCACACCTCCTATAGTGGTCAAGAAAAAATATATGATATTGTTTCTGAAACGATTCAAAATGATTTTCCCACATGGTTCAACACAGTGATCACTTACATCAGCAGTCCTGTGGTTGTCCTCCCTGCACTACTACTGTTATTGTAAGTATTTTGGGTTTTGTAGGCAGGTTGAATTGATTGTTTTAATAGTGGCCTTATCTCTGGAGAGTCAAATGTAGATACAAAGAACAAACATTGCACTGTTGTAGTTTCATCGAGCACAATTGAAAACACAATTCCAACACCTCACTGAACATGTGGTAGGACCAGACAGGAATTAAAGTATGTTAAAAAGACTGTCAAAAGGAATTTCTCCTTCTGGGATTCTTTGTTAGAGCATGTTCGATGCATTGTGTCAAGGCTTGCAGTGCTGATGCTTCCAGGAAGTTTAGGAACCTTTTCCCTCTTAAGAGCTCCTCAGAAAGAAATTTTCCATTTCTTCATGGTCATTGGTTCAGTTTCTGACAGTGAACAGGGCTCAGTCTGTCATTTAAAGAAGCTACTCAGTCATCCTGATTTATGACAAGATAAATCAATTATGAAGGTCTGCTCTTAAGTGTTAATGTAATATAATTTGCTGCAGTGGAAGTCTTTTCTTATTTAGGTTATAAATAATTGTTCACAGTTGGGAAATAATATTGATTTTGAGCTGTTTGAAATTCACTTTGCTTCTCTGAAAAGTTCTATTATGTTTTTCTTGTATCTCTACCATTTTCTTCCTGTGAAAACTGCAGACAAAGGCAGAGTTTGTCCCACCACTGGCTTTTCAAATCAGAAAGATCAAAGCAACACTTCTTATTTGTAACTTTTTCCTCTAAGGTCCCAGCCATGTAATATTTACAAATTTAAGTATTCCTTTTGAATACTTCAAACTGACAGCTAAGCACATATGTAATTGTTTGTGGTATGAAATCTAGCTATAAGACTTTGTCTGAAAGCCAGTGCAATCCATTATGTCAGGCCATAATCTGCCAGAATCCCATCTCATCTGTGGCAGGGTAAACAAGGTGTTATTTCAGCCAGCCAACAAAATTGCATTGGTATGGTTGTGCAAACTCAGCTGTAACTATGGTGTCTCTCTTCTGTAACCTTGGACTGGGAAAAAAAGACAAAACAGCATTTGTCAAAATTATTTGTCTAGAATTAAAAACCCACAACAAATAAAACCAATTGGAAGTACATCCCAGGTTACACGCACAATGAAAATACCCACAAAAAACACAGGTGAAATTAGAACTGCTCTTAAATCTGTTTTCAGTTTAATTTCTTTCATCTGTTTGCTTAAAAGAAGGCTGTAATCCATTATTGCAATAAAAGGAAATGCTACAGAGCAGTAGCTGAACTTGTACCTCATTTTGACCCACAAACCCTCAAAAGGAAACTGTCAAGAATGTCTGAAGAGACTCATATGACCCCTTTCACTTCTAGCATGCTAATCTACTACCTACAAAGTATTGCAAGATCATTAAAATTCACCAACAATCAACTGAGAATGAAGATACAAACAGTAAGTATGCTGAAAAGCACTTTTACATGTAATTTGAGGGGTCTTCAGTAAAGCATGAGCCTAATTAAATCTCTAAAGTCACTTCTAGTGCTTCACAACATAAAACAAGTATTGTATTTTTTATTCTTGCAGAGTAGGGGATTTATTCTCTAATCCATAATAATTTACACATTCTCATTCTTCTGAATGTATTTTAGGAAAGAACCGAAGATAAGAAAAAGGTGGTTCAGATGGCAGTAGGTAAGTTGGCGACCCTTAGAAATGCCACTATTAATAAAGCCATTTTGATTTCTCATACATAAAGGGAACTACAATTACATTTTAAAAACTGTATATCCTGTAGAACCCTCCTTTTAGATGGTTTCTGAGCTCAGTTTGACTTAATCTTGGCAACATTGAAAGATATTGTGTGTAGTTTAAACCTGAATTCACCCAGAATCTTTGGACTGGGTATTTTCTTGCTTTTATCACCAACAGGGAAGAACCTGAGATGCATCTTTGATAATTCAAATCATCTCAGACTTTGCATGCAATTCAGAGGCTGGTAGGCAGAAGAAATATTGGCTTGTTGCCCCTTTTGGAATCCTACATTGCAACATTCAGTGTTTTTTCTGTGTCCCCAATACTCCATCTGCTATGTACTGCAGTATGAAGATCTACCCCTTTATCACCACGTCTCCCAGTGTGACACCAGTTTCTCTTCTCTAAACATAAGGGATTCTGTTGGCCTTGGATCCCTGACTGAAGGGGGAATTCGAGCCACTGGATTTGCACAGCAGTTTCTAAATGTAGAGACCTGGAAAGTTCCTATAATATTTTTTTTTTTCTAGCCAGAATCCAAAATCTGGACGCTAATGACAAAAGACCAGAGCAAGAAACTGATATTATCAGCCAGGAGTCTTCTGTTTGGTCCTCAACACCCCGAAAGAATGGCAGTGTCCTGAACTTTGAATCTCCTGTGAGCAAAGGCACCAGAATACAAACCATTTCCCAGTCTGTGCCCCAAGCTGTGCCAACAAGTGATGTTGTGAGACCTGCCAACACAACTCCCACAGCTTCGACCTCTTTAACACCAGCTCCCTCTGTGTCAAGTGTACAGAAACCAAGAAATGATCATATCACAAACAGGTAAGACTGCTTTGGTTTTGAAATGGTATTTATTCCAGCAGCTCCATGCCATACCTGTTTATTTACAAAACAGCTGTGCATTCAGACTGTCTGGAGCTATAAGACAGCAGAGTAATTTTTTAAAGGCAGATTCATTCACTGGTACTATTGATATCACTGGTGACACCACATCCTTAATTTTCCCTTAACAGAGATTGGATTATAAACCTTTTGAAATTATGTAGCTGATGGAGTTTACACACAGCTCAAGCAAAGGTAAATACTAGACTTGCCCTCAAGCACATAACTAAAATACTTTGTGCAGGATACCATCTCCATGAACAAAACAAATACGGAGTGAAGGAACTCTCAGCAGAATGTCTGTGCAGCTTTAGTTGCAAAACAACCAGTCTGGCACATCAGAAGATGGATGCTTTAAACTGGATTGGGTTATTTATCAAGTGGATAAAGAACAATTCTCAGAACAATAAGAAAACAGAAAGGGAATATAACTTGAGAGGACAATTGTGTTACCTTTTCCTCGAGAAGAACAAATATATCTCCTAATTTCTAGGATATGTTTCTCAAAATAGTTCTAAAAGTTTGTAGCAATGGAGATATGATAATCTCCACTTTTTCAACCTAGTCTTTGACTTTCAGAGGAGTGAACTCTTTTATATGTTTCGATTCCATTAATTGATAAGTGTGTATATCAATATTTCCTCTCTCTTTCTTCCTTCCTAAAGATACCCAAGTGTTGTTCATAGAAGTGCAAGTGAGCTGTGCAAAACAAAGCCCTACACACCAGTGACTTTCAAAAAGCACACTGAGGATGTTCATTCTGACCCTCTCTTCAGAAAAGCCATTCGGCAGGTAAATTCCGATGCCCTTGGGGCGGGGGCTCCTGTATTTTTGGGATGCAGACCATATGCCACCAGGTATTTTCTGGTTAATGAAAACGAGTCTCGCAAAAAATCGCTCCGTTCTACCTCCCGACTCCAAAGGCATTTCAGAAAGGAGGAATCAGGAGACATTATTGAGTTGTATCCACGCCACATCAGAAGATACGTGGTCCGAACACCACACCAGATGTATTCCCCTCATCCCAGTGAAGATGAGGAGGATGAAGAAGAACTTGAGAAAGAATTCATGAACAGATCCCATCGCCCTCGCTCACTGTCTGACCTTCACCCGGCATCACGGTTTTACATTGGGGATCACGCTGATGGCCACATTCTAATGAGCAAAGATCTAGGCAGAGTGCATTACAAATCCTGGGATGATGGTTTTGAGCAGGACCTGGACAGGCCTCCATATGCTTACAAGAAAGTACACCTGAACTATCCTGAGCCACGTGTGAAACCAAAATCAAAGCAAAAGCTGGAGCAATCTCTAACAGAGTCGGATTCCATCTCCATTGAATCCAGCAGTGATCCACAGAACAGCAGCAATGACCAGTACATCCAGGTCATTCATACCAAGGACAAGTACCCAAAAACTGGGGGAAAAGTCACCAAAAAGAAATCTAAAAACAGTGTAGATTTAAGTATGTCTGAGCCTAGTGAACTGGTGTGCTCAAATGTCTGAGAAAGTGCCCCAGCCTCGTTGTGTTTTGAGCTGGTTTATGTGCAGCTGTAATTTACTTGCTGTTGGAGGTCTGTCAGAGTAACTGCGACATAGTTTTTGTAAGAATGGTGTATATAGCCACTCGAGGTGGGAAAATTCTTGTGTTTTACTCTTAATTGTACCTTGCTTTAATATCACAACTGATGTCGTGAATTTTAGAAAAGAAGGTTATTCCAATTTATTCCATACTGTTACACTGTCAAAACCCAAAATCTCTGCCTACTGGAAAATCAAAAGCCATGTACTTGGGGCACTGTAATTAAAACAGTACAGAAATACATCAGATGAGGCTCTTTTTATCTGACGCAGCCAGAGCTGAAGATGCTTCCTGAATAAATTCAGCAGGGAATCAGCTTCCTGTAAACGGAGCTGCTACTTGGAGTAAATCTTGATGTGCCTTTTTTGAATATGCTGTGGCCCAAACAAATCAGGAAAAAATATTAACTAGACAGAATAGTGAGTTTCTTTAGAGTGTATCACATGGGCAGGGGAGTTATTTGACAGCGTGAGTCACGCTTGTAGATTAAATCCTAGATCCTTTTATTAATTTTCTGGCGAACCTCAGAACAGCTGGTAAGCTTCACGGTGGTAAACTTTCGATCCGCTGCCTTTAAAAGACTCACTTCATTACGCGTAGTTTCCAAATCTTTCGCGTCTTTCACACACCACTGCAATTCCGCACTTCCTGTAGATACTGAAGATCGCTCGGTTGGTTTTTCGCTCGTTTCCGCGTCGCCGGGACTGGGATTACACCAGCGCCGAGCGCGGGGCGGGCCCGTCTCTGAGGAAGCCCAGCTCCGTCCCTGAGGAAGCCCAGCTCCGTCTCTGAGGAAGCCCAGCTCCGCCTCCAGCCCCGCACCCGCTCCCACATCCCCGCCCTGCCTCCCCCGCAGCCCGGGCCCTGCCGCTGCCCGGCCCCGCGCTCGCTGTGCCGTGGGGCGCGGTCAGGCCGGGCCGGGCCGGGCCGGCGTCACCCTCAGGTGAGGGGCGGTGCCGCCATCGGCCCAGGGGCGGCGCGGCGCGGGCGCTCAAAGCGGCGCCGCTGCGGCCCCGCCTGCCCGCCATGGACTGCGCGGGGCGCGCTGAGGCGGCGGCCGAGCAGCTGCAGCTCTACCGCCGGGACCCCGACGGCTGGCGGGGCTGCCGCAGCACGGTGGGTCGGGGGGCTGCCGCAGCACGGTGGGTCGGGGGGCTGCCGCAGCACGGTGGGTCAGGGGGCTGCCGCAGCACGGTGGGTCGGGGGGCTGCGGCGAGGAGCGGCGGGAGCCGTCCCCGCCCGGCCCGGGGACTGAACGCTTCCCGTCCCGCAGGGTGAGGTCGCGGTGTCCTGGCGACCCTCGGCGGAGTTCGCTGGCAATCTGTGAGTACGGCTCGTTGCCGGGGCCCGGGGTCCTGCCCGCGGTGCTGCCGGGGCCGGGCAGGGTAGAGCAGCGCCGTTCGGTTTCGTTCCGTCCCCCGCAGGTACAAGGGAGAGGGCGTCCTGCCCGCCAGCCCGCAGAAGGTCTGGGAGTGCATAAAGCCGGTGGCCGGCGGGCTCAGGACCAAGTGGGACCAAAACGTGAAGGACTTCGAGGTCATCGAAGCCATCAGTGATGTAAGTTCCTTTAAAACTGTTCTGGCGACATTTTACAGCGTTGGGCCTTATGAGACAGCCGATGTTATGTGCAGGGAGGTAGCAAGTCTTAAGTTGTATTGTGCTGAACGATGCTGGGTTAAGAAACCTTTTTTTTTAGGTTTTGTTTTTTTTTTTCTTTATCCTTTTCCATACATTTTATTAAGATATGTAGGTGTATAGCTTATCATTCTGAAAGGAAAATTATTCTTGGCTAAATACTTTATATTTAAAATATGCAAATGGATAAAAAATATATATATGTATAATGTTAAATATATAATATTAAAGATTCCTGCATTATGTTGTTGTTAATGCTGCAAATCAAGCTAAGCATGATTGTTTCTAGCAAGCTCAGTGTGAGGGAAGAGGAGGTTTAGAGAGTACACAGACTTAGCTAAGCAGTGAAGCATTCACGTCATCAGCCATCAATTCCAGCCCCAGCTTTCACCATGGCAGCAGTGACGCTGTGCCCTGCACATCACACCCTTCCTTTAGCTGGCCTCAGCAGCCAGTGCTTTGTCTCTGTCATTAAAATGGAGATGCTGCACTCTGAGCAGACAGATGAGCAGGGCTGTGTAGGAGCATCAGCTTCTGCTGCCACACTTGGACAGTCTAATTCCTTTTTTTTTAAAAGCATGTGGGAAAATTAAAAGGGCATTGGATCCCCAATCTGAAGTGGTTGGAGGCAACCAGGTGCAAACACAACCGGTCCCAGAAATGTTTGTGGAAGTTCCAGGAAGTTTATTTTTCTTGTGGGAATCCTGTAGGCATTTAGTATTCACTATAGACAATTTCAGGAATGCTGCAGCCTGCCACTTGAAATTCACGGACTTGCCAGCACCTACCAGTGTGGTAGAAACTTCCGTTCTGGAGCCAATCAGGGAAGCAGATGGTACCCTTAATGTTTGTGCAGTGTAACAAACTGGGTTATTAAGTTGCATCCTGTGTATACTACACAAAAAAGTTACCTTTGCTAGTGTCTAGGGAAGGACAAGGGTTTTAATTGGCCTAGGAGCACAGATGTGCCAGATTTGCATTTCAGCATCCCTTGTGGTATCTGTTCCCTCTGAACATGGAAGCAAGGCCTCCTCACTCTGGCTTTTTCCTGTCCTTGATTGATCATGGTAGTGCCTTTTGACTGTGCTGATTGACACTTTGTTCAACAAAGGATGTAAAACAACACCTTGATGGAGTTTAGAAAGTACAACTAAAAGAGTGCCAGAAAGTACAGGGATTTTTCTGCTGTACTTTTGAAAACACCAACTCTGACATAACTCTGTTCTCTGATTTGCAGACTGTCTCTATATGCAGAACCACGACCCCTTCAGCTTGCATGAGGATTATTTCACCGAGGGAATTTGTGGATGTAGTAATGATGAAGCAATACGAAGATGGGACGATGCTGTCTGCTGGTGAGGCACTTGTGTTCTGAACAGGTTCATGTTACATTTGGAGATAACCAACAGCTACTGGAAACAACTATAAAATAAAGCTACCAGAAATAAACATAAAATTAAAATTATGTAACAAGCTGTTCAGTAGTTGTTGACCTGATCTTGATCAGAAGAGAAAATAGTAATCTCTCTACATTGCTGTTCCTAGAATATATAAATCATCTTAACACTCAGATAATGGTAAGACTGGCCTACGCTTTGTTCCCTTGCTATGCTTTTGAGATTGAATAAGTATTTAATGTACTGTTAAATTCTGGGTTATTTTGAGTGCAGGTTTTTTTTTTTTTGTTGTTTTAAGAGTTTACAGAACTTTCAAAAAGGAGTCTCATTTAGGCTAAATCCTGTTTTAACATTTTCTGCACAGGTTTCAGTGAAGCCATTGAAGAAAGGTACCACTCCTGTATGTGAAAAGAATTGGTTTTATGAAAAAAAATAGTGCTGATTTTTATGGGGCTGCCACTTTATAGAAGGATGTTTCTTTGGATTTTCACTTTCATTCTGTTGTTTAACTGTTACAAGTCTGAGCTTTTTTTGCCCAGCTGTTCAGGTGTCCCATTTTTCTATCCTGTTCAGAAAAGCCTTGTCAGGAATTTGTATACTTGCCAGAGTGCAGCTTTTCAGCAGCCGAGTGATGTATCTGTGAGATGTGGATTTGTTGGAAGCAGCCCAAATGACCTCTCAAGAAAACCAGTGCCCTCACACAACATGGGCTTGATGAAACTGTGTCAAATGTCAATGCTTCTTCCTTCAGAGCTCAGTAACAGCTGCTTTTAAGTTCAGCACTTCTTTAATTTCCCCATTCTAAGGCCACAGTGGTTCCTTCTAATTGTCTTTTTTGAGCACTTGTCAGCCCCACACTGAAGAGGTTGTACTGCATTTTTTGCTTCCCATCTGGAGCTCTGCCTACCAAGGACTCTTTCCTGTGTTCTGGAAGAATGACACTTCTTCAATGCTTTTTCTTTCAGCCACCAATGTGGAACACCCACTGTGTCCTCCTCAACCAAATTTTGTGAGAGGTTTTAATTATCCTTGTGGCTGCTTCTGCATACCTATTCCAGGGTAAGAAACAACCTTCTTGAATGTTATAAATTCTAAAGCCCTCCTTATCCCTTGTGTGGTGTATTTATGTGTATATGGCCACATGTGTTGTGCAGCCTCTTGGCAATGGTATGTTTCTGCCTTCCCAGTAATCATTATGACTGAGTGCCCTTCTTGTTCTCATTTTTGTGCAACAAATTAGTTTGTCTTCAATACTTAAAGGGATGTCTTCAGTGTTACAAAAAGTGTTATGGTGCAATTCTCCCTGACCTCTTGAAATTCAGAAATTCAGCAAAACATACAAGTATGGTCTTAATTTTTGGGTAAATGATTATCTGGTTGATTTGCCATAATTTATAGACAGAGTCATGTAGGTTATTAGGGCCTAGATAAACTTAAATTTTGTAGCTACATTCACTGAAATTTGTCTGTTTTGCTTAAAAAAAGAAAAGCTTTTGGAAGTATCCTAATACAAGTAAGAGTCACTGAAAAGTTCTGCAAGCTCTTAAACCACTGTCTATAAAATCACTTTCATTGTCTTTGCAGGGAGCCAGACAGGACTGAGCTCCTCACTTTCTTTCAGACGGATCTTGGTGGCTATCTTCCCCAGACAGTGGTGGATTCCTTTTTTCCATCTAGCATATCTGGATTTTACAGCAACCTGACCAAAGTTGTTAAGGCATTAAAAGCATGACAAGACAAGCTGCTGACATCTCCAGCTGAGGGTAGGAAATAACCTGTCAGCTCAACAAAATACAAAGTTGGTCTCAGGGCTTTTCTATCTGTTAAGATAGAAAACAAGATGACATGAAACAATGAACTGAGTACAATACATTTTTAAAACAGCAGTTTCTGTGTGACTCCATGCAGAGCAATGCATTCTTACGTAACATGAAAATCTTCACTTTAATGATTAGAAAAATACCACAGGCTGGAAGAATCCTGGAGGCAGCAGTGGTGACTACAGGGAGAAGACAGATCTGTTCTTGCCCACTCTTTGTCAATGTCTGTGAGGTGAAGCATTGCTAAAATCCACTTAACACCACAGCCAGGTGAAGGTCAGTTCTATTTGGTCTCCGAATCTCCCTGTAGATTCCTGTGGAAAAATGTTTCTCCCCCAAAAGAAGATGTATCCCTCCTGCTGCCAGCACTCCTAGAGATGCTAAATTGCCTCAGTGGGTCCAGCCAGCACATTGTGAAAATCAGAACAAATGGGATTATGTAGAAGATTTGACTTGTTTGCTCCAGCAGACATCAATACCGATGGTAAATATGCCGTAAGTGCTTTTTTTAAAGTCATGGTCCAGCAGTGCTAATCAATACACAGGTGTGTGGGCTGGCAGACACTTACCCTTTTCCCCTCTCTGGTACCAAAACCAGTGGTTTCACAGTGTCATGACACAAACTTAACCAAAATAGAGGCAATAAAATAAGAGCATTAAGCACTTTACTTGCCATTTTTAAAAAGGCGTATGAAATGACCATTTTGAACTGTATTTGAATGGTTTTTGGTTTCCTGTGGGGAGAGGCTTTAACGGGTAAATAATCTTTTCATTAGTTTTGCCTTGACAGGGATAAGGACAATGCTTTTTTCTAAGACTGGTTTGCCTCCCAGCATTACATTGGGAAATCAGCACCTGATTTTGTGTGCCAAGGTGTGTCCATTTTAAGAGATTTCTGTGGTGCTGGTTGCTGCAGGAATGTCAGACATTACTATGGATTACATATAATTACAAAACTAAAGCTAATTGGTGAGTGAGGAAGTTAAATGCAGGTTGTGGTTTTACTGTGGTGATTCAATTATTTAACAAGGTTAATATGCTCTGCTTTCTGCCCCTGTATTTTTTTATATTTGGTATAGGGCATGGACTTGCACAGTAAGTTTCCCACTGTAAACCTCACCCTATGAACTAGTTTTTCAAGGAAAGTGTTTTTAGTCCAGTCTGCTTTGTATACAAAGATGTAAGAACCTGTGTGAGTGTGGTGAAATAAATATTTTTTTGTGCTACATCTTACTGGTTTTCCTGAATCATCCTTTGAAATGGTTCCTCATACACCTGTTCTGCCATCAGGGAAGCCAAACAGCTGCTTAGACCTCCAGCATCTCTTGGAATTCAAGGCAAAGAGGGAAAAAGGGGACATCCCTGATGATGTCCACTACCTAGGGAAGAGGTGTTTTGGTGAGAACACTTACTCTCAAGGTTCTCTGTCCTTAGTTGGTCTTTCTTTCCAACTGTTGCTTTCTATATTTAGGAGGAATAACAAGTTCACTGAGAAATTATTTGGGACTTGATACTACAGAGGCTTATACATATTTTTGTAAGTGTACGGAAGTTTTTTGGCATGAATTAGAATATCTTGGCAAGTCTTGCCAGGATTATCATGAGTATAATTAGCAGAAAGTTCAAGAAGTGCAGCTGAGGTCGCCACTCAGTATTTCTGCAAGTAATGCAAATTATTTTTGCAGATAATGTGGCTTCTTATTAGCTATTTATAATTTTTTATTGCTTTGAGCAATAAAGGTGGTGAGACACTTCATGGAATAACTTAAGAACCCCTTTTCTAAGTGCCCATCACCTTCTATCCAGAAATTAGGAGCCCTTCATATTGAGACTTCTGCCCTGCCAAATTGGAGCTGGAAATATTTTGGGCAAAGACTTTTGTGTAGGTACCAGTTCAAAAAAGTATCAAAAGATTTGCTCTCACATTTTTCTCTTATTTTGGTTGCTACCCAAGTAATAATATTTTTGGTGTGAGATAGAGGTTATTTTTTTTGGAAATTGAGCCCAGTAAGTGTTTGGAAGTGTGGGGACAGATGGCTTGTCAAGAATGTTCTTTCAAGGATTAATTTACACTTGCCTTGTGAGAAAAGGCCACAGCAAGTTTAATGCCTGGATTTAATTAATAACTTCTGCCTATCTTCCTTCCCTTTCTCTTAATGTTTTTGAGGCATTTTGAAGCTGCTTTTGAGAGATTGTGTTAAGTGTATGGAAAACAGTCCTGAGCTTCTTAACCTCTTCCTGGTGAAATTAGGTAACCAAAGAAGGGTAAAGAAAATTCCCATCTCCAGGAAGGTGAGCAGCCAGGGTTAATAACCATATCAGCCATCTGGCTCTCAGGGAGTCACTACTTCCATCCTGCCCTTGCATCTCTCCCTTTAATGAAGCAGGTCAGAGAAGACCAAATGGGTGCATAAAACACCATCTTGCTATAGGTACCTGTGCTGCTGGTAGAATTCCATACAGTGCATATAGGAAGCAATGTTTGAAGCATAGATTTGTCTCCAAGTTATTAGCCTTTGCAGAATAAACATTTCAGTTCAGAAGTACTTGGATTCACAACTACTCCTGCTGGTACTTACCCTTGTAAAATTAACACAGACATTAAAAGAAAAAAGTGTTAGAAGGTAAGGTTTTGTTCTGAATGGCCTTGTTATTCTCTTGCTGTAGTCCTCTTGAGACCTGGCCAGAGGAAGGGAAACATCCACCACATTACCCTCAGTTTCTTTCCTGGCCCTTGAAATACCATGAGAACTCCTTTCCACCCTGTGTTTGCCTGCTGCAGTTGAGATGGCTCTGTCAGCTGCTAGTAGAAAGTCACTTTTACAGGTTTTGGCTGTCTTGAATGTTCTGTGTCTTTAATAGGAAAGCTGGAATTTTCTAGGGAGTGTTTTGACAAACAAAACAGCAAGCCCTTTCTCTGCCATACCCATTCTCTAAGGCAGTGTTTAATTGTAGGCTCACAGACACATTTCTTGTTGCTGGGAAGGTAAGGTAGGGAACAGGACTTTTGGAGAGTAGCACTGAAAATTTAGCACAGGATCTGCTTGTGATACTTGTTGAGTTAATAGCTTAAAATAGGAGAGTACTATAGCTGTCATGTATTTTATTACAACCACTATATTATTAACAAAGCCATTATTTTATAATTATACACTTTTTAACATCTGATTCTGAAGGTTGAAATAAGACTCATGCCCATTTCCTGCACGTTTTAGTTAATCCCAGACAGCTTTTTTTGTAACTGGCAGTAAGATCCAGTGTAGTCCTTGTGGATGCTTTCTGAGTATCTTGCTGTGCCAGCCAAGTGCCTGCAAGTAATAAAATCCTTTGTTTGAATATTGGCAGTAGTCTAATCCCTCCTCTTACAAAGTTTTGGATGAGTTGCTGGAAACAGAGCTGCCGTTCTTCCTCTTGATGATGGCTGTGATGGGCCCATCAGGTAATGCCTTGATTACGTTCCATGCCTCAAAACGAGTGAGTCCTTGCATGGCAGTTGTGTGCACTTGTAGGAGCTCATCACCAGGCTGAACTGGGCTGCTCTGTTCCAGTGCAGTCCCTGGGGACAGAAAAGGAATTTTTAAAAATTATTTATGTAGAGGAAACCTTAATGGATCTTTCACTTACCACTGAATGGATCACCAGCATGTTTGCTTTGGACCACCTGGTCCCAGCAGGCAACAAATTACTAGCACTGAACAATATAATGCTGCATTTGCAACAATAACATTTCCATAGTTATAAATCAGCAGTCAGTTATGAACCCCACAGGTCAGCTTGAGTTGGGAACATGTTAAGTGTGTTTACCTTTAAATATCCTGTTGATAATGATGGGTTTGTCTCCCTGAATAGAGCCTTTCCCTCCTTCCAGACTGAATCCTAAACCAGCAGATGTTTTTTCTAGAGTTACAGTGCAGATTGTATCTCCGGTGGCTGGAAACAAATGGAAAGTTAACCACATGGATAGCACACAGTCTAAAAAGCTCAAACATCTGTTACAAAAAAATAACTTTTGGATTGTTTTCAAGGGTCCTATAAACTGCCATATGAAAAAGAAAATGAAAGCTTTTAATTTCTCATTTTGTCATTTTAAGGCCCTCTGGGAAGCTCAGGAAAGAAAGTTATGTTTGAATTAATGGCAGAATGGAAATGTAAGACGTTTACTGGAATTATAAGAAGCTGTTAAATGAACAAAATCTAAGGGATATATTTGACTTCATATTAGTTATGAAGTTGTTATTGACTACAAGGCTGCTAATTTGCAGTATGGAAATAAAGCTACAGATCTTCAGATCATGCTTAAAAAAAAACCAAAACCAAATCAAAACACAAAATATTTCTGAAAGTGAAATATTCTGCAAAACTCTGACCTTGCTGTGTTTCAGATGTAGCCACCTGCTATATCAAACAATAGCATATTTGTTCAAACTGAAATTCTCTTTCATTGAGAACAAGTCTTGTAATAATACTAGAATAAAGAATCACTGTTCACTGAGTTGTCATTGTACCTTCAATTAGATGGTCTGTTACAATAGCCATCTTTGTACATCTACAGAAATCCACATACAGAATCATGCTTGGGTTTTTTAAGGCATTCTTTTATTTTAGAAATCCATTAATTCTTTCCCTTTTCAATAAAGTTATTTCAAATATTTCAATGTCTATTTCAGGAATATTTTATTAACTGTGCTGTCTTTAATCAGGGTTCACAGATTTATGTAGCTTCTGCTGGTTTTATGAACACCTGGATTTCAGGTGATGAGTAAACACTTAGCAAGTGGGGGCTGCAAGATAATGCCACTAAACTTACCAGACTCTTGTGAGGCATCACTTGCTACTGATGATGTGCTAGAGCTGATTGAAACATTGAGATTTTTTGCTCCATCTTTGGATTTTCTGATGACAACAACAGCTTGTCTGGCTTGCCGGGCCTGTCGCATGATTGCTGAGGCATCACTGTGAGTTGCACCTTTCAGAGACTTCCCATTAATGGAGAGTACTTCATCTCCTTTCTGAATTGTTCCTTCCTGACAGGCCAGTCCATTGGGAAATACTTTGTGAACCTATTGAATAGCCCAGCCACCACACACACGCAAGGGAAGAAAAAAGGACATCACTAAATCCCTTAATTAACACCTTACACCATGTGCATTTTTTATTCTTTGCCAGGAATAAGTTGCTTCTATCACATTTCAGGACAGAGGATGAATGAATTTGCCCAGAGAAGTTTTCCTGTGCACATCCCTCCTCAAGCAACCAGGGGAGGAGTTTGCCCTGGTACCAGATGGCTAAAGCCATGCTACCTGTGCTATGTACCTTGCATATTCTACTTCCTGACCCTCTTGCTGCTCGTGAGAGGAAGGAGGTGTCACACTTACTCTAACCTCCAGACCCCTGACATGTTTTCACCCATCCCATTACTCCAGACCTGCATGGTCTTCTATAAGCACGTGAGTAAGGTGTTGGTTATTTCCTGCTGAGAGCTGTGTGTTCTGCCTCAGGTTTCACAGCTGCTGGGGAGGAAGTGCCCGAGCAAGCAGGACACTGCAACCAGACACCTGGAGAAGCAGCTCTGTGCAGAAGGAACCTCTTTTCACCCACTATGGTCCTTCCAACCCTATCAATACAGCTGCTTGCTATGATTATCTAAAAGCCAAAAACTATAGTAGAAAACCAGTAAGGTATATATTTTTAAATAGAGCATTGATTTGAGAGTGTTTTTTAAGATGCTACTTACTGTTACCACTTTGTTTTCTAGATCAATGCCCCCTGCCAGGCTGAATCCAAGTCCAGTGTCTTCTTCTTTATGCAAAACTGTAACATGAATATCATCAAGTTCCTAGGCAGAGAAAGGAATAAAGTCAAGAACTTCCCGGAAGATATGTCACAATGATTGGAAAGTCTGTTGTGCATTTTTTAATGAGACTTAGTAGCACAAGCATAATATTAAGTTGCAAAAATTACCAGACACATTCATTCTACAGCTTTCTGAAAATCATGCACAAAAAATAGGAAAAAAAAAAACCAAAACAGGTTTACCTTTAAGGTTTCTTCGTCTAGAGCTTTGACTTCCTCTATAAGTTTTACCAGCTCCTCGGGGGAAAGCAGAGAGATGACTGACTGCCCCAACACACCAGATGCTTGAGGTGAGCCCTGTTCCTGTTTGTCTTCCTCCTTCCCTTTGTCTGCCAGGCTCACCGTGTATTCTCTCAGCTCCGAGAGGCTGTCCCATTGTGACAAGAACAAAAAAGAAACATTGAGCTATGAGAGAACATACCCATTAAAAGGCAGTTTTGGAGCAGTCATCTTTTCATCTTATTAGCATGTAATTCAGGTGGTAAGTCCTACAACAATTATAAATACAGGCAAATGAAAATTAATCATGTTCACTTAAAGGAAGTGAACATGATTAATTGCATAAAAGAATAAGAATAATTTCATGGCCTCAGACAAAGTCACTTAAATCTGCTTTATCATGGAGTTACTAGAAATAATGCTCCTTAAATAGGAGGATGTTTGAAATGTGCATGTATGGATATAATATACATTAAAACCAAAATTAACAGTCATGAGTCATTTAATCTTTGTGATCTAAAATGTTCTTAACTTTGTCTGTGCTTTACTTCTGTGTGCTGCTGCCTTAGAACTTTAATCTGTCAGTGAATCAGTGCAGCTGCTCACCAATGCTGATGTATAAATCTGAGCTTTAAATATGATATCTTACTTTAGTGAAAACCCAGTATCCAGGTGATGGTTCTCACTCGCAGGTGAGGTGGAAGCCCCATCCTCCTCCATGGAGGACTGAGACACTGTGTCCAGAGCTTCCCATGCACTGTTTCCAGAAGAGGCTGGGGACTGAGGAAGGCAAAGCAAAGATTTCATTAAAGCAGATGACACCTGGCTGCTGATGGAATAGATTTTGCTACACTTCTCATCATAGGGCTTCATTATCTCACAAGCCTGGGCAGCAGTGAGAGGGAAGCTTCGTGACCTTAGGCTGTGCGCTTTTGCTACAGACACAAGGTGGGAATTAACGGCTCCTGGAGCCAAGAGACTTGATGGATGTTCAGTGCTGTCATTGCTGCTTTTCTCTGAGCTGGTTTTCTCTGGCCTGGCAGTACTCTCCCTGCGAGAGGAAGATCTATCCAGGCTCTTTGTAGCCATGGCCACAGGTGGCTGTTGGTGGCTGTTTTCATGATGTGGGAGGAAGTGTTGGTTTGAACAGGCTGGAGCTGCCTCTGCCCCTGCTGCAGGGCGAGAAGGTTCTTTCTGCACCGATGGTTTTAGGCTCAGCCTTCGGGGGGTTTTTTCAGGTGACTGTGGAGCACTCAAGGATTCAAATGAGCTTATTCTTTGCTTTATTGATGATCCTCCAGGAGACACGCGTGATAAACTGGATTGCAGTTTTTTGCTGGAAATGCTGTTATGGTTGGGAGGACTTTGATCTGCCTGTGGTTTTAGATCTGAATTTGCTTTCCTCAATCCTTTCAGACTTTGGCGGAACCAGGTGGGCTTTGGTGCAACAGGAGGACCCTTTTTCACACTGTCATTTTCATCTGATTTTTGTACTTTGGAACCAACTAATTCTGATTCTGATTTCTTCAGAACTGTCTCTGAGCTGCTTCGATTTTGATTCTCTTTTTTTTTATCTATGCCAGGTTGCAAATCTAAGTGGACGTTGTTTTCACTCATGGTAGGGTTAAATAAGCTTTTTATGCAGTCAGAAATTTTAACCCAGGGGTCTTCTGTTGTATCAAGACTATAATCTACCCGTGCTTGTCTTTTAAGTACAGGCCTTTGTATTGATGAAAATGGATTCCCTGTAATAGAGAGACATAGATTATAAACAGACATCCATCTATTGCTCCATTCCTTCTTGCAGCATCATTAATTCAATAACCTTGAATTTCATTCAAGCCTCTGATAAATTTTCTTGAAGTTTCTTAAAAGTTTAAACTTTTAAAATTTTATTATTCTTGATCCATAAGTTCTGAATCCAGACACTGAAATTAACTGTAAAACAAGGCTCTTGCACACTTAAATATGAGATTGCTTTTTTAGAGGGTTTACACATAATTATGGGGTGCTGAAATCTTGATACAGGCTGTAACAGCTAAAATAGAAAGTTAAAATTGTAATGTTGTTTCCAGCCTAGAGAAAAAGCTGGTGTTATGGTAAATTCTTTTAAAAAACTTTTATTTTCTACATTTATAAGTATATCCTACTCTAAAAAGACTATCATAGGAAGATCTTCTATATTAATACTTCCTCAAATTTCCTCAGGCATTTCCAGGTGATTTTTCTGATGAGTAAAAAACTAGATTCTAGTATGGGAATATTTTTTACTTCAGAGAGCAATTAAGCATTTTAATGTTAGACATGGTGGAGCTGAATGGTGGAGCAAACTGCTGTTTGTGCAGCTGCTCAGGTACTGTTTTCTTCTTCAGCATGAACTTTTTTAGGGCAACATTTTAACTTTTTTAAATTATCTGAGCCATAACTTACGGAATTACATAATCTTGTATGTTGTAAGAGACCTCTCAAGATTGTCTTGTTCCCTTAACACTAAGTTTTCTTAATTCTAACTAGCACAGCAGAAAAATAACTTATCAGTGGATTGTACCATTGCAACACTAGGGTCTTAAAATTGTGCATAAAAATATCCTTTAGAAATCCTAAAACTAAGCTTTAATATGAGATATTCAGTATAACTAAACAGTTTCATCTGAAGCAGTACAGAAACACTGTACCTGACCATTAATAATAAGTTTTACAATGAATCATCTCGTATGCTGCTTTTGATCTAGTTTCTCTTTTTTACAAAGATTAATCAATAATTTTTTTAAAATTACAATAAATCATCTCTTATATTTATTTTGATCTACTTTCCCTTTCTTTACAGATTAATCAAACATTTGAAATTTCATCTGTTCATCCCAAAATTTAGAGATATGGTCTGAAGACTACATTTAAAGAGAAAAGTGAAGTCAGCTCAATACCCATTTTGGAATCCAAACTAAATACTATATATTTAGCTGGGGGGAAAAAAGTTAATGGAATTGAACATACCTAATTTTTCTTTTCTTTCTTGATCTCTGCCCGCTGGAGCAGCAGCTGTGTGTTCCTTATCATATGCAGTAGCAGAAGTGGTGAAGACACTGTGGGTTACATCGGTTTGATGTCCCTCTAGCATTGCTCCTCCAGCTTCCTGCTGAACAAACAGGAAAGAGAAGTGTGTCAGAATGCAATTATGCAAACCACACTATATATGAATCTGAAACAATATATGAATCTCGAAAAAACCAGAAACCTCATGTAAAATTGTGGTATGCAGGCCTCAGACTGACTAGTACAAAATTTGTGAGGAGTAAAGGTTGAAAAAATTTAAAAGTACTAATACTTCTCTTAATGATCTGAAATACATTCTGACAAGAAACTTTCTCTCCGGGGTATGTACAGATATACAGACTGTCTTAATAGAGAAAGTTGTCTTCCTGAACAGACCTTGATTTTTCATGGATTTTATTGATCTTAAGATTTAGGTTTTTCTCACTGTCATTTAGAATGACTAAGTACAAAGAATAAGAAGTTGCAGGGTGTGGTAAGTTCAACAAATACTTATTGCCCTCAATTTTACTTCTGAAAGTTGATTTTTTAACGGCGGTTTCTACTTAGGGGATGGTAAAAATTACCTTACCTCATATACTTTACTGGATTTTTTTTTGATATTAAGATTATATGTGGACTTCAGTTTTCTCTGTATAATTTTGTATTGATCTTTGCAGCTTGGGAACTGGTTGGAGGGGAGATGTGGGGTTTTGTGTTTGATTTGATTATTTGTTGTTTTGTTTTAGTTTTTTCTGTGCTTTTTTTTTTCCTTTTTCCTTTGCATTGCATTGAGAACAGTTCATTTCTAGTGCCATATTACTAAACCTGAGGAAAAGAAGTTTCAGTTTTAAACAAACCACAACCTTATTTCAACATGCAGATCTCACAGTCCCTTCACGCTCATGCAAAAGTGAAACATTCTCTGTTGCTCTAGATAAGAGAGGGAACTGAAATTCAGTAATGTACAAATGTACACTGTTTTCAAATACTGTAGCTCATCAACAAAGATGTACGTGCACCACAATTTAAATGGTTTTATTTACTACCTCCTGGTTTCAAGAAATGTATCTGAGCCCAAGATTCCCTGCTGTACACAATGTTAGTGCTTTCTTGTAATAAATATCCACTACAGAAACAAAGAAATTATTGTTCATGACTACTTCATAAATGATATGACTCTGTGACACAGGTAGCTGGGGTGAGCCACACCAAGCTGGCATCAGAGGCTGTGTAAACTCCTCCAGTCCCAGCCTAGGGCATAACCCTGGAACCAGAGCATGCTCGATGGCACATGCTTGTGAGGAGAGGCAGGGACTCAGATTCGTTCTTGCAGCTGCTCTCACTGGGATTTTAACTCAGATACCTTAGTATGGAAGATTTTCTTCAGACAATTCTCTGCCTTCTGATCTTACTTTGAACATAATATTTTGTGCTAAACTGGCTTCACTAAGATACACACCTTAATTTCAAAACAAAAGAGCCTCATCCTCTTCCCCCATTTCTCACTGTATATACATTTTCTCTTTCTTTCCTACCCTTCTTCCTGCTGCCATGCACAGCCACTTTGCCTTCCTCCTTCCCCTGCCTCACAAATATGCAGACACAAGAAAAATGTTGTAAATTTTACTTTACCCGCACACTTGCAGAAGATGAGGCAGCCACTTCTGATACAAGCTTTTCTTTTCTGTCTGCATTACTCTGGTCGTCACACATGCAGTCCTGCTTGAAGTATTTCCTTGGTGGAGGTTTGGGCTTTGATGATTTAGGTTTTCTAACAAGGATCTCTGATGACTTCTTAGTGTTTTGCAAGATTCGACCACCTTCACTACAGGTGGGAGGGGAATTTCTCTCTGAATTACTGGCAGAAAATGAGTAGAGCAGCCCAGGCTGCTGGGTGATTGGTACATCCACGCTGTGTACTCTTGCTTTCAGGTCCGTGAGCTGGTGCACAGCAGCAGTGGCACAGGAGGCCCGGGCGTTGTAGCTGCTGTCGCTGCTGGAGCGGGTCATGAGCCGCTGTGCGCGGCGGCTGCAGCAGCCCGTGCTCCTGTCCATGTGCTTCTCACAGGGCTGCCGCCCGTGCCAGCTCGTTTCCAGCCTCCTAACACCTGTACCAGGAACATGGGCAAAAGGTCTGTTAGTACATGCAAAGTGCTCGCTTACAAGGATCAACTGATGAAATCTGCAGCTAAATGTTGCAGCATTTCTGAGAGAGAGGGCATCATTTATGTCTGGAATGAGATTTGAGCTACTCCAGCCTAGGCCTCAGATCTGGGCCTTGTGAGGCCTTCAAGCCTGTGGTGCAGTTAGAAATTAAGAGCTTGTGGTGTAGTTAGAAATTATTTTAAGGTGTGATGGGAAGCACTGGGCTTTCTGGGTGTGAAGTAGTATAGGTTTATAGTGTGAAGTTTAGTCCACTGTAAGACAAAGACAAACAATGTTAGCTTTCCATTGAGAGTGCCTTTGTAAACTGTAAATTATATTGAAGTGCATATAAACTGCCATGTTCTCACTAATAAAGGGAGAACGTTTGATTGACCATGTTGGCCTGACCTACGTTTGTCCAGTCCAGCTTTCCTATCTAGTGAGATACCTGGCTTTGGCTAAATATCATCCTAGGTGGATGCAAAGGTGTCATTTATGCGTTGAAGGCTTGTAGGGCCAAGAGTCAACAGCCAAGTTCCTGAGCAACCAAATAACATTTTCCCTATATATGTCAGCACTCTAATTTTACTGATGACTGTTACCTATTGGTTCTTTAGAAGACACTCAAAGGAGTATCATTACTGGGAGAGTATGTCATACCTGAGCTGGACAAATAGCTCCAGCCATTTCCTCACAAAAAAAAAAAAAGGGATTAACAAGGTTTACCCCTAGGACATGACGTTCATAGTTCCTTGTTGTCATAGTCCTGTCACCTACAGACAGTGGTTTGAAAAGCTCTAAGCAGAGCTTGTGAATTGGAGAGGATAAGCAACTGTGAGAGGAAGTTTGCACAAAAAAATTTTGTTGATAATCAGATAGACTTGCTCTTTACTCATTACCCTGGTAATATCACTGGAGACATGTTAGGAGGGCTGTCCTGTGAGGTTTCCTGCTCTTTCTTTCTTTCTGCTCTGGGTAACTTGACTGTTACCTCTGTTACCCAGAGGATTCTAATACAGCATGTACTCATCCTCGACATCTTTCAAGTCAAAATTACCATGTCTCAGTGAATGCATTTATTCCCTTACCTTCAGTACTCCACTGGTGTCTCTCCTTTCCAAATCTGTTGCCTTCCACAGCTTGTGCAACAGCTTCTTTTAGCTGTTGCTCAGACACCTAGGAAATATCATGCCATACAAATATATATATTTGTATATATCCCAGTATATATGAAGTATATCTATGGATGTGCTCTTTTTGGTGGCTGTTAAGGTAAAATGGGACCTTTCAAAGACAAACATTCTTTTGCAGCACTAGAAATGGAGTCCTGGATTTACTAGTATAAGGTAACTCGATACAGCATGCTTTATGTAACCCTTTAAACTTAATAATAATTTATACAGTATTTGGTGTTATGAAGCATTTTGTTGAGAAACCTTGCAAGAATAAGAGATTGTACTTCAATACTAATTTAATTATAAATATTGGCAGGGCAAGACCTCAGTTTTAATTACTGAAAGAGAAGTGTATAAATATTTAATTCTTTTTGGGGAAGTATGTTCCCTCTTTCAAATGATTTACTTATTATTGTAAATTCTTTCTTACATAAGACCTGTGTTTTGGGTTATTCCTTAAATGTTATTTCTGTCATTTCCTTATTCATGGCATAGAACCTCATGTAAGACTATCAGCAGTGATCTTCAAATCTTAAATGATTCTACTTAAGACAGTGCACATCTCAGATTTTTTTTGTGTGCAGTGAAGATCACAAAGAGATAAGCATCTTTGTAGTCAACATTTTTCCACCTGTATTAGATCAGTACTTGCTCCCTCTTAGTTCTCAATACGTGCTATATTGAAATTCAGAAAGAATACAGACTGTGCTACCTGTGGTTCAGGGTGTCTGCTAACAATGATTTGTACTGCACCAGGATCACAATGGCTCAGCACAGCATAAACTTCATTAAGGGTTGTATTTTGTACTGAAGTTTCGTTAATTTCAAGAATTTCATCTCCACACCTAGAGAGATATTTAGGAAAAAAAAGAGATTATTTAAACAAGAGATTTTCTCCTGACCTCATGTTCCCCATGTGAATACATGCAAAAAGCAAATTCCTATGGCCAACCTCTAATTTTCTTATAGATTAAATCTGTCTTTCTGTCCTGTAACAGAAAATGGAATGGGAATGAGTTGGATGTCAAGGGGTTTTGATCTGCAATGTTGCATGCAATCTCTGAGCTTTCTGCATGTTCAGCTGTGCACACTTGTTTTTTCTGCTGTCTGCAGCTCAGCTGCTGCTTCCACCTACACCTTCCTTCCTTCCTTTCCAGTTAACACATCACTTTTCATGTCTTTATATTATGTTAGGGCTATTTAAGGTCAGAAAAGAAAAGCAGAAAATGTTTCTGCTACATATGTGAATAACTCATTAAAAAAATTCCAATGCCAAACTATCAAAATCTGCTAAACTGGATTTTTCTAAATGAAATCCAGATTTGGCTCACATGGAAACTGAGATTGCCTTGCTCTGCTCTAGTTCTCACACACATTAAGAGCCTGACTGAAGGCACTGATTTGTATCATTCAAATATTCTAATAATTTAAGACTATAGTTCTTTCAGCTAAAGCATTAGAGAGGAGAATTACAGAACACCTAAACTTAAATCAAAAAGACTTCACTGAAACTCCTGTGCTCTGTTCAGTTCTCAATATGTTCAACATTACTAGTTGGTCAAAAACCTTTGAAAGTGAATTTCTACACTCTCACTAAAGCTCATTTCAGCAAATCTGTTTTTCTATTGGGCAAGAAGTAATAGAATTTAAGGAGCTTGTATCAGAAAAAACCTAGTGCTGAAACAAGCCACATTATGTGATATGTTTAGGGTTTTCTAAATACTTTTTCATTTGGAGATCTCCTTCTGTAGCAAGGCTACAAGCTTGTCTAAGACCTTCAAAGTTAGCCTAGCTTGGGCAAGAGCAGAGATTTCAGTGGGTTGCTGTATTTCTGGAAATCCCACATATCCTGAAGACATATACTCCAACCCTGAGAATAGCACATGTTCTCTAAACCCCAAATTCCCAGGAATCAGTATTTCTTCCTGTCCAAATAGGTCATAAATAAACCCATAAAACAGATCAATGGGAAACTTGTGGCATAAGACAGCCAGCCTTTCTCATCCTACCTTAGTCTCCCATCCATATGTGCCACTGAGCCTGGCGAGAGGGTGTGAATAAAGATCCCTGAAATACACTGGAAGTAAGGGATGCTACATAACCCAATTCCAAGGCCAACACCTGGCTCTGAAAGAAGCAATAATAATTAAAAAACCCATAAGAAACAGTCAAAGCAAACCATTGAAGAAGAACATTTTTAAAAAATTAATTAAATTTAATTTTTTCTGCACAAACCAGAACCATTGTCTTGTATTCATGAATGTTGCACATTCAGTATTCATTGCTGCTGCCACTTCATTTTTCTAAACCTTTCTATTGTTTTATTGTTATGGGGGCTTTCCCCCCCTCATGATTAAAGTGTCACAGATACAATGGAATGCAGGTTAATTTTGCAAAATATTTGTCATTACAGAAGAATTCAAATGACTTTACAAGGAGACAGAATTAAAAAAAAATTAAAGAGCTAAAATTAAGAGGGAAAACAAGCTAAAATTAAGGATATATGGCTACTGTTAGCTATATAATTTCAGTCCTCCCTCTGTTTCATACAATACAGCTGTGTTATATGTTATATAGGACTCTGTGAGTTTCTCCTCTTTGCTCTGGACAGACACTGATGTCAGATGCCATCCTGTGTATTTGATAAGTCACTGGTACCTCATAGAGGCTTTGCTTGATGCTCTGATGTGCCCATATTTAAAAGTTTATTTCATTGTGCCAGTGGTTATTTATAAATAGAAGATGATGACAGTTGGAAATGAGGTGAAAGAATTAGAGGAAGATGTAGATACTTATTTATTTGGTTTTAAGCCTTTTCAAGAGTGAAGTTAACTGTTTGCATAATTATGGGTAAGAGTTGCGCAGTCTGTTTAATAAGAGGCATTTGTTGACAAGAGCTTTACAGTTTCACATGAAGGATATGATTGTGACTCTAAAGCTTGAGAGCAAAAAAACCTCAATGATTGGCTCTTGAGGACAGATGGTGTTCAAAACCCTGCTGTTGACAGACACTTGTTAGCACTGACAGGCACCCCGATTTAATTTAGTGTATTAGAAAGACTTAGTTCAGGAAAAGAATCAGGTTAGTGAGGAAAGACAGAGAGCAAATGAACAGTGGTTTGCCAGTCAGTGCTTTGTTAGCAGTGCTCAGTTAATGTCAACACTCACCTTTGTTTAGGGTAACTTCCATTATGACCCTGTCATTGGGCTTTGTAGGATTTAAGGAGAATTCTGCATTTTCTGAACTGAACGAGCTGTTTTCCTTGGTTATGCATGTACTGGAGCTCAGTGACTGACACAGGAGGGGTGACTGACAGCTGGAAGCAAAATGAGGTGTGCTGAAGCTTGTCCTGACTGTAAGTGTCAGAAGACCCTTTTTAGCCTGCTGGAAAGAACACACAGGGAGTGAATGGGTTGAGCTCACATGCACATTATGTCTAAAACCAGAGGTTGTTCTGGAAGGAGAGTACATAACCTTAAATTTCTGTAAAGCATCATAATGTGTTAATCCATGCATGGATTCTCCATTCAGTTCCAGGATTTCATCACCTGTTTTGCAAGAGAAAAAAAATTTATTACTATTACTGTATTCTGTAATAAATTACATGATACCACACATGCACTCCAAAGGATTCTTGCAAATGCAAAAATGGATGCAGATGTAAAAGTCACTTATGGCTCATTTCAGCCTCAATCTGTCTTTCAGTGTCATTTTTTGGGAAGTGGGAAAAGGGAGAGAAGAGGTATTTTCCACCTTCTTGTAGCCTTCCATCAGCAGCAGCAGCTCCACCAGGAAAGATGGTTTTGACATAGATGCCTATTGGTCCATAAATGCTGTCTTTACCACCAACGATACTGAAGCCCAAACCCTAATTTATGGAAGAAAAAGTGTGTGAGAACCCATGTTCAGTTCTCATAATAGTTCATTTGCAGTTTCTTCTGTATTACCTACATGGGCAGTATTATCAGTGGAGTAGTATAAAACATGAAAAAATAGTCAATCACATTCCTGTAGTAAGAGTAAATGGGGATTTCAGCAGAATCCTCTCCTGTTTTGCTTTTTGTTTGTTCCAGTCAATTAATTCACTATTATGTGCACATGGAAAGGTGTCAAAATTATTTTTAAAAATTTTTCTTGGATATGAATTGGCAGCCCAAAAGTAGTAAATAACAGTCACTTCTCTGCACTTTGCAGATCACATTTGTGAGATGAAGCAAAACTCATGGTAAATCAACAGAGCCAGTCTTACCTTCCCTTGTCCTTTCATCAATACAATGTTTGAAATTACAGAAGCCTGTGAGCCACAGGATGTGTGCACTAGTTGTGCTGTACTTAGGGATCTAGATGTCCTCGAAATTGCCTGTGAATAATAAAAAAAAACAACAAAACCCACAATTTTTTTTATGCATAAGCAGAAATTCTTGAACATACATTGCAGCAACTTCTTCATTTGAAATTTTCTTCCTTATAACTGATGGTACTAAACATTCTTTTTTAAAAAAAAAATCTTTCTAATTTTCATAAGCCATTTGTTATTCAGCAAATTTCTGCTCACTGAATTTGTTCTGCAAGGGACTAAACTGGAGAAAATTAGGATGTTGGTCCTTGAAGTGGTGCAATGGTGTGGAAAGATAAATTTGTGCTCTGGCTTGTGTCCCCATGCCAAAACCCCATTTGTGGTCATTAGGGGACATAAACAAGTATTATCATTTTTGCCTTCGAGAACTGAACTAGAATCAAGTAATGCAAAATCTTCCCTTCATCTTGTGACTAAAAACTTTATCTTGGAACATACCAAACCTTTTTAAAGGATTTTCCCCAAAATATGAATTTGTGCTGGATTTCCTAATTTCAGCCTCTGAGATTTGTCCCATTTTAATGAGCTTTTAATCAAGTATTTAATTAAATGTTTAATGAAAACCTCCTATTTCAACATGGATATGTGTATTATAGGATAATTTAAGCACTGACAGAAGTCATTACCCAAAGCTAACTATGCATGAAGTTCAGCAGGGTCAGAGTTAATTGCACTCATCACACATCTGAGAGAGCTCAACTCTTCTTTCTTTTTTTTTTTTTTAATGCAGCAAAGTGAAACTAGCAGGCATTAAAGAGTGGAAAATCAGCAAAAATTTTGGCTTCTGCATATGCAAGAGTCTCAATTTTGACATGAAAACCAGATTATCTGTTCAGCATGGGATTGGGAACAGGATTAAGATGTGAACAGGCATGCAACACCAAAAACACACTCTCCAAAACGTATTTCTCCGTTAGATCAGGGTGATTGTTTATTCTGGGTCTTCTGAGTCTGAAATGGGAAATTTTCAGATTTCTTTTGCTTCTGTGTGAGAAGGTGTGGTTTTATTTCTTTTTGTGGTGGATGGCAATACCCAAAGCCAGGATGCTGCCAAAGAACCTCTTGAAATGGGCAGCACATGCCATGCAGGAGCTTTGAGGAGAAGGAAACCCAGTGAATCCTGGAGGATCTGTTTGTGCACTCAGGTGTGTTTTGGTTGGGTTTCGTGCTCTGGTTTGCAGCCTCCTTGTTCCTGTTAAAGCCTTGGGTCCCTCAGGGTGGGTGAGGGGCCAGGAGAAGGCAGGGAGCAACAGGGAGGGAGGTGGGAGCTGAGTGTGAGGAGCTTTGCCTCCATCTCCTCCTCCAGGTCTGAGCCTGGGGACCTTTAGCCATAAATAAACCATCTCCAGCCTCTGATGGTCACTTAGCATCCATCTGGAGAGCAGAGGAGCCAGTCTCCAGCCTCCTTTAACAGGGTGTTTAACTCTGCCTCCTTCAGCAGGGACCGTGGTGAGTCCGTACCCGCTGTGGCCATGGCTGGGCCAGCACAGCTGCCTGGGGACACTGGTGGCACTGGGGCTCAGAGCGGGTGGTGTAAACCCCCCGTTGGGAATTTAGCCACACCATAGAACCTGCTGGGCACTGGGAGGGAGAACCTGGAGAAATGGAGGTTTGCTGGCAGGGCCTTTGCTGCTCTCCCAGCCCTCAGAGAGGAGGCAGAGTGACCCATCACCCCAGCTGGGCAGAGGGGCAGAGGGGATCAGGCAGGACAGCGGCTGCAGAGAGCCCTGTTGGGGACATCTGGGGGCTTGCAGAGAGCCCTGTTGGGGACATCTGAGTTTCTCACTCACCGGGGCTCTCCCTGCAGGGCAGTCCAGCTGCTGTGACAGTGATTTTCGGCTGGCCAGGAGGGCGTGGGGCTGGTGGTCCCTGAGGGGCGCCGGGCCCTCCGCAGCCCCGGCCCAGAGCGGGCGCGCACCTGCCGGGAGCGCAGAGAGGCGTTACTGCACTGCTGCGCAGCTCACACCGTGTTTCAGACAAATGCTACCAGAAATGGCTTTCCCTTTGTACATTTCTTCCTGAAGGCATTGATGTCTTCAGCTGTCACTTAGGCAACAGCAATTAATGTTAAATATAGTCAAAAGCATGCATTCCCTACCAAAAAATTGTTGGCCTATGTAGAGTACACCATTAAAAAGGCCCCAAACCAAACTGGGATGAAGGATGTTGTGAACACAGCAGCTGATGATTTTATGCATCAGCAATTCTTAGCTAAGGATCCCAGAATAAATTTGGACAACGTTCAGCATTTCCTTTAGCACCATAGTACCAGCACACAATGGGGGCCTGTGATCTGCACTCCATGAGTATTAAAAGAAAGCAGATTATTGCTCTGCAACTTACTGGTGGAGTTACTGCGAGTCCGCTGACATGCAGCCTTACCGTGCAGAAAACCATTCTGTATTTCCAAAGGCCTTTCCTTACGTGTTGGTGTTTCCTAAAACAAAACAAACAAAACCCATGGCTATGCAAGAAATTTCCAAAGTGATCTATTCTTAAAAACCAAATTTCTTCTATTTTGGCTTGCACAGATTTCAGCCTGAATAAAACAAACAAACAAACAAACAAAAAAAAAAAAACCCAAAAAAATCCATGGAGCAAAATTCACTATTTAAAATAAATAGGAGGATAAAGGGGAATGAAGCTCAAAAGTTTGTCATAAAAATGATTATAACAACATAATAAGATAGAAATAGATTCAGGTCCTTAGACAAAATGAACAGAAATTTAATTGGACACCCCCAGCTGGACCAGATTGATGGATGGGTAAGATATAGCCATGCTTATCTAATTTCTGGAGGTAGCTCATACTTTTTGGGTAATCAAGCACCTTAGGGAGGGATTAAGTTCAAGAGGAAAATTCTTAATTCCATATATGCAATGGTGGATAGGTGCCTAACTTCTGACTCAGAGGGATGTCTTTTAGTCAAAATACAATCTGAGCATTTAAAAACCTCTGAGGACTAAGTTTAAGAGTTTTCAAAAAAATTGGTACCTACCAGTTGGAATCTCCTGTTGCTTTTGAAAATATGGTCCCTAATTCTAGCATTTAAAAATTTGTAGATTAAACATTCAGCTTTCTAAATGCAGGTTTTTAGAACTGTTGGAAAATAAGTACATGATCACATCTGAATAACAGTTGATGTTAGGAATAATTTCTGGGTGGTTCCTGCAAGTCCTGATTCTGATCCTCTTTTTGTGAGGCAATTACTTTGATCCTGAGGGAATCCTGGTTCAAGGGAGAACATTACTAAATACAGACACCATATGGAAAGTGATATAAATAAAACAAAATGCCAAATTTTTGCTCAGTGTTATTCTGCAGGAGCCGAGACAGGAACAGTGTCAGAGCACAACCTGTATGTTCTAATCTAAGTGGAGCCAACCAGGACAAAGACTTGGTTTCAGAATCCTGATTTCAGGAGTTCTGTTTGGAGATACAAGACCTATGGAATGCTAATTTTCTGTTTGGGCAGCAGGTGGGGGTATTGCCAAGTAGCAAAATCCTACTAGGACTTTCCAGTCCCATTCCCTTAGGGAACTCTTCAGAATAAGAAATACGGAGAAGATCCTTAAAGATGAATTTTGAAAATAATTTTGCAGTGTTTCTCTTGCCAAGCCAGCTAGCTTGAAAAGTCTTTGCTATTAACTATAGATCCTAGATTCACAGAACTACTTTGTTACAGGGGCTGCTCCCTGGCTTCTCTGGGATTCATGGATCTTCCCTTAAATCCATTTCTGCCTTTCTTCAACTCCTAAATGGAAAATTAACATTGGCAAGCTGTGTGTTTCTAAAAGAAGGGTTTGAAAAGCCCTTGCTAGAGTTTCCCAGAGACTTGGCCTCCCCACAGCCTCTGTTTATCTAGGGAAAAGCTATGCTGAAAGTCACCAGAGTCTGACCACAAGAGGTTTTGGGTTTTGTCACGAAAGGCAAAACCATCTTCAAATGTCTGATGAACAAGTTCCCCTCCTCTCTAAAGTAAATGTCCAATCACCCCACAGTTGCTCATGCTTACTTTGTGAGCCATCATCGTGTTCACCAGCTGTGTTGTTGGGGGAATGAGAGACTCAGCCTCCTTTCTGGACAGGTCTTTCAGTGATTGTACATTTAGTGTTAACAGTTCATCCCTTGGGCTCAGGCAACCATCCCTTAAAGGAAAAAAAGAAACATTTATATATTATTTCAAACAGAATAATATATCCCTGTTCCGTGTGCTACCTGTCTCTGTCTGAGGAGTCAGCTTCAGTTCTCCCTTTGCCTTGACCAGGGCTGCCCTGGGGTGCCTGGATGTGATACACCCCATCCCCTGCTAGGATTTTTCCCTGTTACTGCTCTCTTCTGCTTAGTCCTGGTGATCACTGGCTGCCTGGTGATCACACAGCTGACATTCAGGCAGGATATTCCTCCCTTCTCACCATCTTGCACTCGAAAATTGATCAAAGACTACATTTCCTTCCTGTCAGGAACCTTGGCTCCCATTGCTTTCCAGTGGCCTTGTGGGACTGATGCCACCCTACACTGCCCTTGTACAAGGCATCACCATCTGAAAACCTGATGTTATGTACACTCTCTCATTCTTCCAGGTTTTATTTCTTGGTGTAATTGAGCAGCACAGATCCCTGATAAAACTGGCCACAGTTTTATTTTTCTACAATCTTGACCTGCGTCTCCAACTGGAAGCAATGTAAGGATTGATCCCTTCTTTTAACTGGAACTGAGCTTCAAGGCATAGCTTGTCACAAAAAGCTGGCTGTGAAAAATCCATGCAAACAAATGTCTCTGTAATAACTTGCTACCTCCACGTGTACTGTACCTGTTTGCTGGGCCTTCAGCAGGCACGTGGCTGCCTGTTAACCCTTTCCAGAAAGATGCACATCTTGGGCTCCTGGAGAGTTTGATTCCTGAGCTGCTGTTCCCTGGTGTTGAACACAGCCTGCAGATGCAGCTGTCCTGATCCAGAAGATGAAAGGTTGCATGAACAAAAATGTACTAAAGCTGTTAAAAGTTATTTACATTTATTCTGAGCCTTTTTAAGAAAGGTTTAGAACCAGGTTGCCTCCCAGGAGAACAGGAGCCTTTAACACTGTCCATTTGAGAAAAAGCAATGGTATTATAGAGTCAGTGCTTTACAGAAGTTATTTTCCTTAGGACTTCAGTGGCTTCTGGCTAAAGGGGGGAGAATTACAATATAGTGTCCCTTTGCATGAGGGGAAGAGAACAGAAAACCGGGTAAACTTTACCTATGCTAACCTATGCTAGCTTTGCCTATTGTAAGAAAAGACAGGGAGGAAAATAAACACATGCCAGAAAATTAAATGCTCTGGAAAACAGAAGACGTCTGAATGGAAAATAAGTAAAATAAGGGTATACAAAACACTAGAAGCTCCACCCCTGCTGCTGACTTGTTAAGTGGGAGCAATGGACCAGAGAGGTCTGCAGCAGTGGAAAATTCTTTGTCCATTCCAGACTGGTTGAAGTTGCTGCAGTCTGCATTGCATCTGGAGGACTAATTGTAAGTATATCTTTAATGCAGTTATGAATCATTAACACAGGACCATTCAGAAGGAGAAGTAGTGCTTTGAGACATATATGGAAAGCAAAGAATGGAGCAACTAAGCACATTAAGCACAACACATTTGACTGGGAAATACACTCCTGTGGCACAAATGTGAACACCTAGAAATTTTAAAGAGATGAGGAAAGCTGGAAAGTTAGCACACAATTTCTTTTCCATTTGCTTAATATTTCTCCTGATTCAAGAGAGTAATTAATTTCTCACTTATTCTGCTCCCAACTGAACCCACCTCCTCTGCCCTCGCCAGCCTCTCCATACTCCACAAAGTGAAGAGGGCTCTCAGTGTATCCTGGATCCAGGCTTGTTCCCAAGAGATTTGTATGACTGAGGTATAGATTTCTGAAGGGGAGGCAAATTTCATATGTTAGGACAGGCCACAAAACATAACAGTGGTCAGCTGTCTGTGTTGCTCCCAGGGCCCCTGGTCAAAGTGGCATCAACTATTTCCAGTAATCTGTAGACTTCTGAGAGCACAAGGAAAGCTGTGTAGCCACTTTCACCATCAGTAGGGCTTCATTTCCACCCTAGGCAGAGTTCATACAGCCCTGAGGATGAGAATCATTGTTCTTCTTCACCAAAAATTAATAGGTATTGCATCATTACTGACTGACAGCAAAAACAAAATGCAAATTTACAGCAATGTCAATAAAGGTCATTATCTTTCAGGCTGACTGCCGAAGCCTGGCTCCCATTCTGAAACCTGCCAGAGTAAATCTAAGGCTGTGAATTAATGAAATATTTAACTTGGGGCCCTGGGCTCACTGCAGGCTGAATTCAGTAGGTAATGGATAAGAGCTATACTTGTATTGACTGACTCGTTAACTCTGTGGGTTTGCTTGCATTCCAGATTGTCTGCCTTGGATGAGGAGTGTCTGAATTTTACGAAGCCTTTTTTGTTCATGAAGAATTCTTCTAGTGAGTAATATGTTGGTAAGGATATAAGCATGGACAGAATTCTATCTTAAACCAGTTGGCTTGAACTCTAATATTAGTTTTGGAGCCTTTTATTTACTTTTCACCCAAGATAAATATCTTGGGAAATACTTAATTGAAATCAGGATTACATAATGTTCTTTTTTTTTTTTAATCTTATGGCAGTTCTTTGATGTCTTCAGCACAGTAATAAAATAAAGGTTAACATTCAGATGCCTTAAAATTTGAAATCTTGAGTAGCAAAAAATGTGAGTTCCCTTTTCTCTTTGTTTGCACTGTCCTTTATTTCAAGTATGATTATGACATTACAGGGCAGATTCTGCATACATGGAGCATCCATTGAAACTCACAGGGTTTTCAATAATGTGGTGTGTTTGTTGTAAAACATGAAAAATGTAAGATAGATATTAAAGGTAGGAAATTATTCTGCCATTTAGCTGAGTATTTCTGAGATCTCAGCTGCTTGTGGACTGGGGCTGTTGGGAAAGAATAATGGTATTTAAAACTCAGTGTTTAAGAAAATAATTTTCTTTCTGTTTCCTGTAGTCAGAATGCAAGTTTGGACTTGCCAGCTTCTCTTCTTAGGAGTCCCTACTCTTGTGAAATGTTCCCGTGAAAGATAAACATATATTCTCACAGACAGTCAGATACACAGTTTTGCACAACTGTTCTCCACACTTCATTTTTTTGTTCATTTTCATAGGCCTTTTCAGACTGACCCCAACTCACCACTGTTAAAAGCTGAGTCCTATAGCTTGTTCACAGTGTATGGCTACTGTGCTCATCAAGTTTATAAACATCCTCCTAGTTAATTGTCCAAAAGTGTTGTGTTTCCGCCCAGCTTCACAGGACATCACAGAGAGCAGTGGGTTTGGCTCTGAGGTTTTTCATTGCAGCACCATGTAAGTCTTTTGGGGAAGGGATTGTGTTTTGTACAATTGGACACGTGCCAGGCTGGAAATTCTGGGATGTATTGGGACATCCATATGAAACATCACCAAATCAAAACTGATATGAAGATTTTTCCAAGAACAGTAAGTTGCATGCACTTAGTCACTAAGAAAGTAGAGGTTAAATCCCTTGTACACAGCAGAAAAGTCCTGGGAACAATTTTTGTTTAGATTTGTAGTCATATTACCCATTTGGGCTACATTTCAAATTCTCTCTGTGTCTCAATCATTGCTGCAATTCATTTAGGTGAATTACTTAAAAAAATAAGTTTTTATTGGTCTATGGACATGTGGGAAATATCTGTATGTTGTCAACATTTGTATTTTTTGGGTCCTGGATATAGATCATTATATTCATATCCAAGTTATTGCAACATGACAGAAAATTAATAAAAGCTGTTCTTCAGAAAAATAAATGTTTGACCAATTCTTGTGCCTATAGTCAATTGGCTTTGGGTTTAGTTCTTTAATATTTTTTTCCTTTCTCTGATTATTTTGTGCATAGTAATACTGCTGATGGTTCCAAGAGTAAAGATAGCATTTATTTTTACATCTTTTTCCTTTTTAAAGTGCTCTGTTTGTTTTGAAAGATGATTTGTAGGTCTGAATACAGTGAGTGCTGAAAATTTGCTAAAAGACGTTGTTAGGTTTGAGGTGGGGCAGGTGGATCCTGGGCCAGCCTTGTCTCTTCACTATTAGAAGATATCTTTAAACATATATTTTCTGCGAGTGAATAAACTCTCTGCTTTGTCTTCCAGCCCTTCAGGACTCTGAGGAAACTTTTATCTGCATTGCAGGTTCCACTCAAAGCAAAATTTGTATTTAAACTAAGTCTGCTTGGCTGAAAGATAAAAATTAAAGGAGTTTAAGAGCCTTCTTGAATTTTCCACAGGTGAGAAAAGATCAACTTTTCTTTTGTTTTGTTCTGGAAAAATAATTTGTACATCCAGGCCAACTCTCTCTTCCTGTTCCCATTTTTTGTCATCCAAAATGCAAAGCTTCTGAGGATGTTTTTTATCTGCCATTTAAAAGATTCCTTTTTCCTTCATGCTTTCATTAGACATTTCTAACTCAGAGTCCCATCTCAAAACATCTAATTCCAGATGTTGTTTAGAAATAAGGGTAACCATGGCATCTGTGGAAAACTGAAAAACTTTGTGCACTCTTAAAGTAAGACACAGTAGTTAGATTGTCTGAATTGAAATGTTATACAAGGCTAGTTCAAGTAAGGTCTTGGACTCAGTTAACCAAGTGCATGACAATGAGCTAATTGACTGCTGGTTTTAAAAAAGGAAAAAAAATAAAAGAAAAAATTATATCTAACAGCAGTACAATAATGTATTAAAATACTTAGTTTTTCTGGTCTTCAACAGCCTTATGACTGTGAAATGGCTGGTATTTCTGAGATATGATCTTTGGGGATTTTCTTCAAGGAGCAATTTTTTTCTTAATTCTAACAGAAAGGGCCAGAGTCTCTCTGGCATAAACTCGCTCCACTGGCTCTGACATACCCTAGCCCAATGCCTTGGTCTTTTAAAAATATTTATAGTAGATGTAATTCATTTTCCCAGCAGCATATTCCCTTTGAAACCAGTAAAATGGCAGAAGCTGGAAAGCCAGGATGATGCAAGGAGCAGGGCATGAGACCAAGCTTTGCCCTAGATTGACAATTCAGCACATCAGATGTTAGAGAAGGACCTTTCCCCCCATCATCTGCCCTCTGTGTGTTTTCCTGGGAGCCTTTGCTGGCCTACATTGTGCAGCACATGCCATACTAATGGAGCAGCTCCTCTCACAGCTTGCTCTGAGTGATGACCAGGGTGATGTGCAGCAAAAGCAAGAAGGCTGGGCAGACAGAAAGAGAGAAGTGTGAAAACTGAGGAGAACACATAAATATCTAAATAAATTCAGTCTCTTCTCTTGGCTTTAGTTTTCCATCCTGCCCGTGGGCTTGTGTTTGAGACATTACAGTCTGTTGCCATAGCACTTGTCCTGGTACCAAAGGGCCAGCTAACTGGTGTTTGCATCAAGGCAAGTTAATAAAAGTATATTCTGTTGATGACCATAGGAGAAAAAATACCTTTTGCCTTTTCCCTCCTTCAAGCAGAGGGTCAGGGACCAAAGGAAGAAAGGGTGCAGAAGTTTCTAGAACCAAGTAGAACCAAGTAGTCTGGTCAGCTTAGTTCCCATATTTATTTCATCAGAATTTAGTCATTTTTTATTCTAGATGCTATTTCAACCCTGCTGCCAGCCTCACTGGTAGCTCTCAGTGCTTCCCAGGGTTTTGGGAGTGTTGGGAAGATGTAATGGAATGCTTCTTGGAGCAGTAGAAGTGCTTCTTGCAGCAGCTCTCATGCTCAGCAGAGCCTGCTGTTCTCTGAAGGAGCTGATATAATCTATTCCTGCCCAGTTCTCCAACAGCTGGAGTGATTTCAGTCTGAGCAGGCAAAGACATCTTCCACAGTGTTTGCTATGTCCATGCTCAGGGTATCAGATACTGTTTACCATTTCTTTGGTGTCTTTTCTTTCAGGCCATGTGAAAATTACTGATTTTGTGAGAAGCAAAGGAGATCTGTTTGTTTATACATAGACCAGCTGGAAGCCCACCATACCACACCAAGCACACCTCATCTCAGAAAGTGTCTGAACAAATGATGCCAGGGTAACCCTGGGCCTCTAGACACAGCAAGGAATAGTCAGTATAAGTGAATAGTTGGTCAGAGAAGCCAAATGAATTAAAAGACAGTTCATCTGCTCTCATTGCTGACAGAATTTTAGAGAAGGGAAAAAAACCTCTGTTGTGTAGTCCTGCAACACTGGTTTGCTAATCATTTATTGCTTATGGTGAATCCCATGCAGTCAGCAGAGTATGGCTAAGAGAAGCACTTAAGGTTTGCAACAGAAAAAAAAGGAATTTGCATTTTGAGTACTGATGTTACAAGTTCCCCTTTACCCTGGAGAACAAATGCACAGGGAACATTAAATCATGCAGCACTTTTAAGCATTCTTCTCTCCTTCCTTGTGACAGCAATATTAAGTTGTTCAGTTCTGTGGGAGTTATTAACACCTTCAAAGTCACGCTTATGGCTGGAGGTGCTGGAAAGCAGAAGAATAATGGAATATCCTCAAGAACACCAGGAAAGAATGGAATCAATTTTCTTGAACAAAGACAAGGATTCTTCAGCTCTGAGTCACACATCATGAATTTCTGAAGTGTCACATTTAGATGGAGAGAGAATTACACTGGGACATGAAAAAATGCCTGTTTGACTTGTTAAAGACAGAAGACTTAAGCTTTGTAAGACCTGTGGTACAGGAAGATTGTTCTGACAGGCTTGTGCCATATGGAAGGTAGAGATCACTGCTTTCATACTCCAGGGAGAAAGCCTCAGCAGCAGCAGCACAGGGTTGGGGTGGCTGTTACCAATGTTCATCCTACTTAGAAAGCCAAGATAAGACTTCAGAATCACTCATTGATCCATGGCCCTGAAAGGTATGGAAGATTAGCAAGTAGTATTTGAAGAGGTTTAGATTGCTATGAGAGCTCTGGAGTGGGAATTTAATGGTACTCATAGTGTACAGCAGCACTAAGTGACCCAAATGCTGCTGTGAGGGACTGAGCTGATGACTAATTTATGTCAGCATCTGACACATGTTTTTCAGCAACACTGATGCTTCAGCCTAAGAGTGGATTTATATCCTTAGCAGTTGTATTTTATGTGTGCAAAGGCATTGTGGGACTTAACTCTGTTCCCCAGATCCCTGTTTTAGCTGCTTGCCAGCTATTAGAGCAAACTATCTAAACTTCCAGTCTGAGATAAGATACTGAGGAGCTGCATGTGGATATGGATCACAGCAGTTATTGGAGCCCTGCACACTTAGGAGATGTACAAGGAAATAAACTGTGGCAGCTGACACACACCTGAGGGCTTCAGCTTCTGAAAGGGCACAGAGGCCAGCTCCTTCACTCATATCAGCAGGGTGCATAAGGACTGTTTCCAAAAAGAAGGAGTTGGCATGGTTTTGCAGGAGACTGAGTAAGTTTTGGGACTTGGGTCTTGTTTTCTGTCAGAATGCAATAGTAAGATTTTTGGTTTTATTTTCCTGCTGGGACTTCGCCAAGGGTGGAAACACCTTGCCTCCATCCTGCTTCAGTCTTTGTAATGCTGGGCATGCTGTGGTCATTATTAAGGGTAAGGGGAGATTCTGATTTTCAGTAGCACTTGTGCCACTGTCTTTTTAAACATAGATGTCTAATTTTAGCCAATATATATTTTATTTTATATAAAATAAAATAGAATATACAAGAACAACTATTTTGGTGAAAAAATCAGTTCTTTCACATAAGCATGTATCTGCACAGATAAAAGGCATGTAATAAAGGAGGTGCCAGGATGCCTCCGGTGCCCCACTTGCAGTGAGGTCCCTTTTACACATCGCAGCAGCAGATGGAACAGAAAGCGGAAAAATTAGTCTATCTTGCTGAAAGAACTTTCTAAAGCCATCTAAAAAATATATTGCTCTGACAGAAAATTGTTCAGCTTGTTAGGGTTCACATAGCTGATTAAAGAATAACACTGAAATATGAGGCTCTTAGACTTTTCACATGTCTAGGAAATGTGACATCTCTGGTGGTTTTAGGGTCATCACTACTTTCTTCCTGAATCAGAGGGAAAGAGCATCTGCCTACTTAATCTCCTGTGTCTGACACAGTATTAATATAAATCATGCTTGCATGGCTTGTGCGATATCATGGTATCACATTAGAAGAGCCCTTTGCTACAATGACAAGTTTATATTTTGAGCTGAAGAGTCTCTTGCAGATAGAACACGCCAGCTGTACTTGTCTGAGCACTGACAGTGGCCTAGAGGCACTAATTTCAGCAGACTGTTCATCAGCAGAGTGCAACAGCACAGCAGGGAAGCCAGTGTATTTTCATGCCTTTTATGCAGAGCAGGAGCACTGCAGGTTCATAGGCTCTGAAAAAGCCAATTAGAACCCTAAGTACCTGAGAAATATTAATTAATCCATTCAGGAGCTACTGCAGTGGGAAACATTACAATACACAGCACAAGTTGCCTACCTTGGTGAGGAACTTTCTTCTCGTGTTGTTGCGGTTCTCATTTGCTGCAGCTTTGGACTGGAGAATGCTGGTGACCACACGTGGAGGATCAGGTGGGCTGTCCTCTGCCTCTGATGTGCATGGCAGCTGTGTTCTGGGACAGCAGTCAAAATCCTCTTGAGCCCAGTTGGTAGAGCTCTCAAAGGGATCAGGACATTTCTCATCAGGACTTGACCCATCGTCGCTGGTTTTGGCATTGCAGAGTATAAGTGATCTTGAAATGGAGCGAAACTTTCTGGACTTCCTGTTCCCAGCACTGTTCTTCTGATCCATCTTCAGAGAGCTGCTGCTCTTTTTCCTATCATTCTCCCATTTATGTGGCATGATACTTTCAATAATTTTCTCTGCTTCTGTGGTGCTAAATATCCTCCGGGAAAGGAAATATAAAAGTAAGTTGTAACATACCCCACTTTCTCCCACTTAATAACCTACGCTCCTGGAAAGCCCTAATGAATAAATCGAATCAACAGAGCCTTTCAGTCTGAGAAAAGCCACGTGATAACTCATGACTTGCTAATTCTGCTTCTGTGCAGAGCTCTTCTAGATCCTCCTTCACCTTTTCATTCTCTTACCATTTACCCAAGCAGAGTGGAGTGCTTTTAATAAATGTTTGTGATGCTGCCATTGTCTGCTTGCTTTGGGCATCTGCTGAATTTGCATGTTGAAATCCCAAATTGAAAAAGATACTTAAAAAGCATTACTCTATCCTCCTAATATTATTTGGAAAGAAGAAGCTCCTTCTGAAGTTTGATTCATGAAACCACTGTAATTCAAAGAAGATTAATCAAATTGTCAACTCTAAATTCTCTGCCTGGCACATCTGAGTTGTAAGTGGTTTAGCAAAAGTCAATCTTAGCCTTGAGAGAGTAAGGGATGTAAGGCTGCCATAAAACTTCCACTTTTGCAAACCAGAGCTCACTTAAGACTGTGCATTTAAGAGTAACAGAGAGATCCAGTGAAGCACTTAAGATGTGAATATCTGATTAGGAATTGAATTCTATAAAGGAATACAGCTCTAGTACATCAATCAAAAAGTGTCCTATTACAGAAGTGGTTTGTTTCAGCTCATGATTCAACATACAAAATTAAGATAAATTGAAAAAAAATATATGCAATCAAAATACAGCAAAAATTTGGAGCTTTTGTAAAATGAGTAATGTAACTAAGAGTAATGTAATATGATCTTTTGTAAAATGAGTAATGTAATTAAGATAACAAAGGGGTTAAAGCTCAAGAAAATGCTTTCTAGAAATGCTTTGTAGGTATGTGTCAACACTGAAAATTCAATAAGAGTATGTCTAAATTAATTACTTTGACTCTCTCACCTAAGTTTTATTCTCATATTTACTACACAAACTTTTCTCCTCACAGAACCTAACTGATACCACTGTTGTCATTCAAGAGAAAATAACAATTGAAACGTATGTATTTGCATAAATCAAAGATGCCATAGGTGTTATAAAAAAAAATGAAAATCAATGTAATTTAAAAAGCACTTTTCAGGTATCCTATTGAGAGAAAAAGTTTGTCCATTGTGTTCTAAACTGGAGTGTTGTGTTTGGTTTGGTGGTTTTTTTCACTGTTTCTGTGCAGAATTAGGTAGATATGTATGCACTTTGTAGCTGAAGTTCCACTGGTGATACAGAAAGAAAGAAGGCAGATTTTATAAAGGCTCCTTACAGCCATGACAATAAACGCAGGCCTACAAACTCAGACCAAGCCAGATTTGGATAACAAATACAAGTCAGCATTGTAATAAAGCTGCAGGATTGTTTTTCTTGGTCTTTGTTTTTCCTGTTTAATTATATAAGAAAAAAAAAGCAGATGATAAACACTATGCCACTGAACACCTGCCTAAAGGAGCTCTATGACATGGCTGGAGAAATCCACAGTTCATAATGAATCTCAATTTACTTGAATTTGTAAAATTAAAACAATTTTCAGGTGCAGCAGAGATGTCCCAGGGAGAAGGATGTTTATTTGTGCAGTCTTTTCTGGTGTTTTTGATAGGTAATGCTTTTACATCTTTCCAGCATTACTTATTTTCTATCACATCACTCCTATTATTGCTCTACTCCCTTATGTCTCTTTTTCCAAAACAAAATCCCTAATGCTTCAAAAATTCATGCCCTGATTATTGGAACTCCAGGGATTTCCAAGCAAGACACTATTTCAGGTTGAAGTTTGTAACTAGCCAGGATATGTAAGTTCCCCAAAGCTGGTGTGCTTTCTGTTCCTCTCAGTGTGTTGTGGGGATCCCCTCTGCTCCTGTGGGAGTCTGACCCCGTTGGATTGGAACGGGGGAATGGAAGTCATTGGTCTCCCAGCCTCCCTGGCACTGGCATGAGGGGAGCTTGCAGGGTCAAACTGGACTTGCATATTCTCCATCCCCTTCAAGTCACAGAACATTCTACTTTTTTCTTATTTTCAGAGTAACCTCTCTTATGAATGACGAGTTTGGTGTGATTGAGAACTGCCCAGCAGCACAGCCACACTCTCTTCCTGTGACACAGAGCACACGAATGTAAGGTTAGGAGATCTTGTTTGTGATTTATCAAAAATGCACTTTTTAGTGTTATGATAAGTCTAAAGCCTTAGTCTGCCATCATATACATGAACTAAATATTTGAACTCAGAAATCCCATCTCCACTGTATTAGGAAATTAATCTTGTTAAAGTCTATGATGTTGTGTTTCCTTGTATGCCTAAATGTAAAAATGCAATCTGTCCCATTAGACCAGAATGTGGAGTTGAAAAGGAAAGAATGTCTGGGATAAAGAGAATTTCTGCAAGTCTCTACTCTCAGCACCTGGGTAGGAAGCAACAGAGCTGGAGGTGAGTGGAATGTGCATCACTTGAAAATCTGCTGTAGGGATCAGTGCCCCTTCTGTGATAGTGGCAATTGCTATTAGACACTGGTAACACCATCACAATTGTACCCAAGCTGCACATTCATACCTAAACAATCCTGCCTATGCGGGGAAATTAAAAGAAAGAACACTTTTTATTCAAGTATTTCAATTTTGTACAAACATTAAACACACTCTTACTTTTCTCAAAGAGGAAGAATTTTAAAAGAGCTATTAAGCATTTGGATAAGCAGAGGACTTGATAGCTTAATGGTCAGAATGCAGCTCTCTGGAGACTGGCATGCTAGAATGAAGTCCTTTCTTGCTCTGCCTGAAGCTAGTGGGCTTAAGGGAGAACTGTCATCAGTACTAAATGTCCAAGAGGTGCCTCTCTGGCTCTGCTAAACATCTGGGATGCAGGGACGATGGAAGCACCTGTTGGAAAGTGAAGGAAACACGGGTCTAAGTGCATCCTGCTTTCCCATCCCCCTGTAATGCTCCTGAGAAATTTTACCTTTTGCAGAGAGAACTCTCTGCCCTGCTCCATCAGCTGTTTCCTCCTCCCCCATCCCCATGAGAGCTCTATCCACTCCAAGAGCAAGTTTAACCCTGAATGACTTACCCAATCCCACAGTGAGACAGGGGCTGACGTGAAAATAAACCCACTGGACTTGAACACTTCCAGTTAAATACTTGCTCTTGCTATAAGTATTAGATCACAAGTCCTAACTAAGGCAACATTCTTTCCAGAGCTGCTGATTCAGGGTTGCATAAGTGACAGAAATATAGGAGGTATCAAAAACATAGTTTATAAGTTTTCCAATAAAAATATCCAGAAATGTTATTTTACACAGCATACAATATCACAAGTACCAGAGAAGCTTTATGATTCATTGCCATCTTCTACCAAATTTAATTTGAGATATTGATGGCATGGACAATTACTTCAAAGTCAATTCTCCAAACTATTCGTCTTTTTCTCCAGTGCACTCACTGCTTGTCATTTTCTTTTGCCATTCTGATACCTCCAGCTTGCCTGATGGAAGCTGTCTGTGGTTTGTAATGCAAACCAAATGTTCCTTCTATGTTTCTTTTTTTTTCCCCCAAGCTTTATTTTTCCAGCCTTAAATCTTAAAAGTCCAAACTCAGACTGTCTTCTGCAAACAAAATACATGATCTGAGCTGTAGCCATTTGGTTCAAATTTTTGGTTGGATATTAAACCAAGCATTTACAAGATACAAATAATTTGGTGTAGCTCCCAGATTGAATGCGAATGCTCTGCTTTAACCAGACAGCAGGAAATACAAGACTTTACTAGCAAGAACAAGATGAGTTTTACATTACCAAGTGCTAGCAGCATCCTCTTTTAATCTAGATCTTGCATCCTAATTTAATCTAGATCTTGTGATCTTACTCAGATTCATTGCTGCGCAGTACTATTAGCACTGAAGTATTGCAGATGTCTAGGGCTTCCCCACAGTAGGTAGAGCTAAAGATTTGGAAGTTTTCTAATAACGAGGAAGAAACTCTCAGAGAGCAGAATTTAAAAAATTATAATTAAAAACCCTAATGGTAAAATAAAAATTTAAAAGGAAAACTTACAACAGCGAGGCAGACAAACCTGACTCCTGCAGAAGGCTGTTCCTCTTCATAGGCCTGGCAAAAAAAGACAGAGTGAATAATTGAAAACACACTCTCCTGGTGCCACGTGACTCAGTTTCAGTAATTGTGCTCAGTACATTGGAACGGAGCTATTGTTTCCTAATTGAAGAAAATGTCAGCAAGGCTAGATAAACAAAAGCATTGGGATGTAGTATTGGGGAAGCTGTTTCCAGCAGGCTCCCAGCTACCTAGACATGGCAGAACCATTTAAGGAATTTATGTCATTTGTTTTCACCCATCACTCTCTGGTCCGAGGTTTGATGGGGTTCAGGCATGTTAAACCCACCTGAGGGGAACTGGGGCAACAGCAGAGTCTGTGCTAGTCCAGTGAAGGCTTTCTGTTGGAGGCTGAGATGGCAAATATGCTTGTATTTTTCAGCTGATATTTTAACATTAAAAAAACATTACGCTAGTAAGAGTTTCATAGACAAATTCTGTTCCAGGAGCAAAACATAAGAGGTTTCACTTTTGAATGCCAGACCCCTGTATTGTTCACCATGAGCACAATCTCCTTAACCTACCAGTTCTTACTTTCCCCACTATGGGCTAGACTGCAACTTTGTGATCCGACCTCATCAAGGACTCAGAAAACTGTTGTTTATCACACAGATCATGTCAGTCCCCACCTGTTGATCCTCAGTTGTGCTCAGACAGACAGGTAACAAAATTGCTGCAAAAACCTGCTTGCTCTCAATGAAATTATGTGATAAGATTCATAGGGTGTTTGTTAATTTAAAAAAAAATCCCTTAAAGAAAACGTATCTGGAACAGTTAATGTTAGTTTATTGAAATAGTCAGGCCTCTTTAGAGTGTTCTCACAAACTATTAATCTCATGCTTTTAAGGAAAATGTAATCATTTTCCTGTCTGGTCATGGAAATGGTCAATATGAGAGTGCTTACACACCTGCTGCCCTCTGTACTGTGTCTTGAAGGTTCTGGTTTTATTGTTCTGTTGCTAACCTTGTAAAGGAGGGAGAGGAATTATAGAAGAGGTTTAAAATATTGCACAGATAGGGGCTCATGTTTAGTGATCCTATTGCTTCTAGGTAAAACATGGACTGTAAAGACAAACATCTGTC